CTCAGAGCTCCAGGCTCAACTCCTGGCTGTCATAAATGTATAAAGGGAAGCCCCATGAGAATTTATGTAACGAGGGGAAGACTCATTTTCCTTCCTGCAAGAACCTTTCTGAAGCAAGGTGAGAACTGGGCTGATTAGATTCTGTGTGAAGAAAGAAAACCAAGCCAATGGTTTAAAGGACGGGAAAATGTGGGTCAACTTCAGCTACTTCCTGTACTCCCCCCACCAAAAAAAAAGTGACCTTATAAACAGAAAAGAACATTCTGAATTCCACAAATAAACGAGTGACTGGGTAACTGAATAAATTAATGAATGAGTGTGATCCAGGCTTCCTCCGGGGTGGTTCTTACAGTGTGAGAACAGTTTGATCCTGAATCCCCCAGAAATGCTGAACACATAACCAGGCCAATCAACAGAGTCAGCTTCTGAATATTCATGCACAGATGATGCTCCCAGTCAATAGGTTGGATTTTTGTGTTTATTGATAGATGTTCAAATTCACTGAGCAAACCAAAATTCCAAAAACAAAAACAAAAATAACACCCCACAGCTAAAAAACAGAAAAGAAACGTGTTGAGAGCTTACATTACTTCTAGATAAGACTGCCAGATAAAAATAACTTCATTGTTTATCTGGTTCGTATTTAACCTATTTCTGGGCTAAACCCAGATACTTACAGGGCAATATCTGGGGACCATGCCTGCACCTGGCAGTCAGAAGCAAGGAAAACTAAAGGAAGCATCAGAGAAGAGGACAGAGAGACTGCGAAAATCTGGAGGGAGAATTGGGCAGGGACAGGGCTTCTGCTGAGTGGTGACACCGGCCCAGGGGACGGGGGCCACCAGGAGGATGCTCAGTGAGGAGGGCCCCAGAGGCTGTGGAGTTTGACCCTTACAAAGTTGATGGTGCTTCTAAGAAGTTCTAAATCAGTGGTTGTCAGTGAGGTTGGGGTGAAAATGGCTGCAAGCTGGAATGACCGATAGCATATCGGAGCTGAAATCTAGGTTGGAAAGAGCCCACTTCTCCTCTGCAAGATGGGGGGGGAGACACAATATATGTGCAACCCTTATCAGCTCAGAATTTATGGGTCCCGTTTGGGGGCTGTACTGTGTGGTTACTGATGCACAAAATAAATTATAAATATTTTCTTGAACTTTTTTTTGAAGACCATGAAGATCCCTAGCTTACAACAATTCGGTCACAAGTCCTTGTCTTCAAGCCACTTCCTCGCTCTTTTCCAGTAGACCCCTCCGTGATGTACTCAACCTTCAGCCGTTCCCTGCTGCCACCCATTCTTCCTTCTGTTAAACAGATCAATGAGACCCCTATTTCCAACAAAAACACCCAACACCCCCAACCCTGTCCCTAATGAGCTGAAAGATGAAGCCTGTTCAAAGAGGGGAAAATGGAGCTGACTATTATAAAACTTTCTGATATAAAACAGAATAGTGTGCCTTTTCTTGCCCTGTCCCTGGTAATTTGAAAAACTTTCCAAATGATTCTGATATCTGGCTGCCTGTGTGTCTTAACTCAGACAGAAAGCCTTTTTATTTCTTCAAAAGTCCTATTTCTTGGCAAATTTCTCCCTGCAGATTTCTTCTTTCTGCACTGGATCCAGAAAGAGGCACCACTGCATGGGAGCAGACATCTGTCACCTGTCCCTGCGAAGACCACGAAGTACCAGGCCGCCATTGGGTGGCCTGAGCGTCCACCTGCATCTCGCAGTCGTGGTTCCTGGCTCGACTGCTCTCACTCCAGCAAGATCTTAAAAAAAAAAAAAAAGGCAGACCTTAGGAGTTCCAGTCACCTTCCCAACTGGAATGACCGTGAGGATGAAGCTCCCCAATGTCATCAAGCTGCTGGATGGGGTCACACAGAGCCCCGGGGTGGGCAGCCAGCCCAGCAGGACACTGGCGTGCGGGACCGATCTCAGCCTTCCAGCTGGCCTGTGACGCCCCAGGGGCCAGAGTCTCACTCTGCTGGTCTGACTCCTCAAGGTCCTTTGGACTCCAAGTGGTTTTGAAAAGATCCCCCGACTCCTGCCCCTGCCATTTCACCCCCGAAGCCCTCTCCTGAACCCTAAAGGGGGAACTTAAGTGTGAACAACCCCAAGTCCAGTGGTGACAAGGCCTCCAAGCACCAGTCCTGATCTACCTTCAAACAAAGGACGTTTCAGATTTGAGGGAGGCCATGCTCAGATGTTTCAAAACTCAGGGTGACGAAGGCTTCTTAGGCAAAGTCCAGTGACAGCTCCATTCACCTCTGACATGAGGCTGCCAATGATCAGCTGAGCCCTAGCCAGAGAGGAGGACAGAAAATCACTAAAGAAGACCCCATTCCCAAAGGAAATTGCCTTGAAAAAGTCTGGGGCCTCATTTGCTGGCTTTGGATTCTCTCTTTTTTAAAAAATCATTGATGAGAGAGATAAAAAGAGAAACATCAATCAGCTGACTCCTGTATGCTCCCTGACCAAGGATCGAACCCACAACCAAGGGATCAACCAGGAATCAAACCCACAACCTTTTGGTGGACGGGAAAATGCTCACCTGGCCAGGGTGCTGGCCTTGGATTCTTCTAGGGTTGTCTTAGCTTCATGCCCCCAATGTTAATAAAACAAAGGAAAACAATGAACCTACCTGTGAAATCCAAATTCAAACTTCTCATGTTCCCTGAGTCTATTTTTTTGCCTCCATGGTGTCAGTCAAGACTGTACATGCACACACAACACACACACACATAACAATGTCCTTTCAAAAATATAAATGTTACCGCCTATAAAATCATGATTTCCATCATTTCTCCTGTCGGCACTGGGTCACAGTACGTTTCCTGTTGAGACAAATGGTTGTCTTGTGCGTTCCACACAGAGAGGGTCTGGGGTTGTGGGTGTCTGTGGACTCCCGGCACCCACCTCTCTGCCTCTGGCCACCAGATGGCATCCTGGAAACACTGTTGGCACCAGTATTTCTGCTCCAAGGCTTTTCTGCTTTGCTTCCAACCAGCCTTCCTCCCTCAGTCTTCTCTATCCCCCTGCCCAATCCATTCTCCAGAGCGGCTTTCTGGAGGGCAAATCTGTGTGATTTTAGGAAATTTACCTAATCCTCTCTGCTGAGGCTCTTTGCCCCATGGCACGGGTGTGCGGGTGGCCTAAGGCAATGTAGCACGTAGCACAGTTGAAACCCAGGGAGTCCTGCGAAACGAGCTTTCCAATTGAAGGGGCAAATGCAAGACCACCTTCGCCATTTGCGTATGAAGCATAAAACCTGGAAAACGATACAAGGTGAAAAGCCATCCCCTGCACTGAGAGCTTCCTCTGTTCCAGGCTCTGTGCCACGTAGGAGTATCACCTCACTGAGTTCTCACCACGGACTCTGCGACTCTGTGGCGAAGGGAACTAAGCCCAGGGAGGGTAAGCGACTGAGGCGCTGTCTCCAAGCAGGCGAGGGTCCTGTGTGTCTCCAGAGCCCTGCTGCAGGACATGGTCCCTCCTGGGGCCCATGGGCTTCAGGGAGATGGTGCGACACCTCCAATAGTGGGGTGCGGGGTGAGAGGAGAGGGTGTGGGGACAAAATGGCACAGGGGGAGGGACGGCGTGGAGGTGGGGCTTAGCCTAATCTGGTCCCTTGGCTCCCCCTGTTCTAACGTCTGCAGGCCTCCAGGCCAACGGGCCTCCTGATTGGAGTCACTTTTGCCCCAACAGAGTACCTCCGGTCTCAAGGACTCAGCTGCAAACGCCCATCTAGGGGAAAGCTGGCCCTTAATTCCCAGCACTTCAAATGCTCCATAAACCTCTGGACTCGACCTTGAAGTTGGGTGTAAGTCTGGGAGAAGGATGGCACGGCAGACTGAGGAGGGGACCGAGAGGCAGCAAGGCACCTCCAAGGGCACCTAAGACTGCCCCTCACCTCCTTCCAGGGCCTCGCCTCTGCGAGGAGCGGTGTGCAAGGAAGGCACACCCTAAAATATCCTGAAAGAGATGGGGGGCAGCAAGGGAGTATCATTTGGGGGGCTCTGCCATAAACAGCAGTGGGGAGAGAAAAACTGGAGGAGGAGAGGGGAGGGGAGGAGAAGGTGTGGGAGAGGGAAAAGTCTAAACCCCTGAGACACAGGAGCTGGAGGCTGGGGGATCCCCAGACAGGAGCTCAGGCTGGACCAGATGCCGAGAACAATGGGCCTCAAGGCCGGGAAGCAGGAAGGGAAGGGGGCAGCACGTGACCAGGCCAGGGAGGCCCTTGTGCTTCAGGAGCCTGGGCCATGGGCACTCTCACGGGTCCCTGTGGGCAGGGGCTGCCCCGGGGCCCAGGTGAGAGCCAGAGCCAGCCACAGTAAGGAGGAGCCGTGCAGACCCTAACAGCCGCTGCTGACCATACATTACTGCCTGTGACTCAGGCCGGGCCGGGCCCTTCATACATCATTTCATTTCTCCCTCACAATTTCCTGCTAGAGAGCTACTATTCTTCCTCTCATTCTCACTCTCAAAAGGAGGTGGTAAAAACCCAGAGAGGCTTGGTGACTTGTCACATTTTAGCTGATAAGCTGCAGAGTCAGGATTGGAACCCAGGCAGTTGGGCTGTGGTGGCCGCTCCCTTAATCCCAGCTGCTTCCCATGCAACAAAAGTGGGTGATCAGGACAGAGTCAAGAGTAAAGGTAGATGAGTGTAGGAAAAAGATCAGGACGGGAGAGAAATAATGCCAGGCACAAAGAGAGACAGGAGCATGGCTGCGCAGGGGGCCTCAGACCCTGGGCAGCGGGCAGAGGCTCGGGCTCTCTGCTCGCTCGGCCACACAGGGGCACCATTTCCCTCAGCGGCCGCCTTGCTGTGTGAACAGCGCCTTCCCCTCCGGCCTGTCCCCAGAGCCCCTGCCGCATCCTCCTCAGCAGCAGGCTGCTGGGCTTCACGGGAAGCTGCTCTCTTTCTCTAATTGGCATTGAAACTCACAGCCCTCCCTTTTCCTGTAGGTGGGGTTTCCATAGGAAAAAGCTGCTTCTCTGTTTCCCCAGCCTAGCAACTGTTTGGAAGTCAGATCCCCACATCCTGCTTTACTGGGTCAAGTCCCTCTTAGACCGGTTCTTGCCCATCATTGGCTGGAGTGGAGCAGCGGATGCCCCTGTGTTGGGTCTCCCCTGGCAATCTTACTTCATCGGTGCTGGGACCTCTCGGACCTCTTCAGATGAAGATGGCCTTGCCTGAGAATCCTGCTAGTCTCACCATCATTTAATTATGGGACAAGGCTGTGCCAGCAGGTCTGGGGGCAGGAGAACGGGGCTAACTGAGTCCCCCCAGAAACACTGGAGGACTTCCCAGCCTTTGAAGAACTCTAGCAGTTTCTGAATCTAGCCCATTCCGGCGGTAAGCATGATGCAACTTCTTCAACTTTTGCTGGGGCTCTTGGGGCCAGGTGGCTACTTGTTCCTTTCAGGGGGTTGTCAGGAAGTGGCTACTCTCACTGTGAAATACCAAGTGTCAGAGGAAGTGCCGTCTGGCACAGTCATAGGGAAGCTGTCCCAGGCACTGGGTTGGGAGGAGAGGCGTGGGCAAGCGGGGGCTGCCTTCCAGGTCTTGCAGCTGTCTCAGGCGCTGCCCATCCAGGTGGACTCTGAGGACGGCTTGCTCATCACAGGGAGGCGTCTGGACCGAGAGCAGCTCTGCAGGCAGCAGGATCCCTGCCTGGTTTCCTTTGATGTGCTTGCCACAGGGGATTTGGCTCTGATCCACGTGGAGATTCAGGTGCTGGACATCAACGATCACGAGCCACAGTTTCCCAAAGGTGAGCAGGAGCTGGAAATCTCTGAGAGTGCCTCTCTGCGCACCCGGATTCCCCTGGACAGAGCTCTGGACCCGGACACTGGCCCCAACAGCCTGCACTCCTACTCCCTGTCTCCCAGTGAGCACTTTGCCCTGGATGTCATCGTGGGGCCCGATGAGACCAAACATGCAGAACTCGTGGTGGTGAAAGAGCTGGACCGGGAAATCCACTCATTTTTTGATCTGGTGTTAACTGCCTATGACAGTGGGAACCCCCGCAAGTCAGGCACCAGCTTGGTCAAAGTCAACGTCCTGGACTCCAATGACAACAGCCCTGTGTTTGCTGAGAGCTCACTGGCACTAGAAATCCAAGAAGATGCTGTCCCTGGTACTCTCCTCATAAACTTGACCGCCACAGACCCTGACCAAGGCCCCAACGGACAGGTGGAGTTCTTTCTCAGTAAGCACGTGCCTCCGGAGGTGCTGGACACCTTCAGTATTGATGCCAAAACGGGCCAGGTGATTCTGCTTCAACCCCTAGACTACGAGAAGAATCCTGCCTATGAGGTGGATGTCCAGGCAAGGGACCTGGGTCCTAACCCCATCCCAGCCCACTGCAAAGTCCTCATCAAGGTTCTGGATGTCAATGACAACGCCCCAAGCATCCACATCACATGGGCCTCCCAGCCGTCACTGGTGTCAGAAGCTCTTCCTAAGGACAGTTTCATCGCTCTAGTCACAGCAAAGGACTTGGACTCAGGAGACAATGGTCTAGTCCACTGTTGGCTGAGCCAAGAGCTGGGCCACTTCAGGCTGAAAAGGACCACTGGCAACACGTACATGCTGCTAACCAACGCCACGCTGGACAGAGAGCAGTGGCCCCAATATACCCTCACTGTGTTGGCCCAGGACCAAGGAACCCAGCCCTTAGCAGCAGAGAAACAGCTCAGCATCCAGATCAGCGATGTCAACGACAATGCACCTGTGTTCGAGAAGAACAGGTATGAAGTCTCCACTAGGGAGAACAACCTACCCTCACTTCACCTCATTACCATCAAGGCTCATGATGCAGACTTGGGCATTAACGGACAAATCTCATACAGCATCCAGGACTCCCCAGTTTCTCACTTGGTAGCCGTTGATTCAAACACAGGGGAGGTCACTGCTCAGAGGTCACTGGACTACGAGCAGATGGCCGGCTTTGAGTTCCATGTGATTGCAGAGGACAGGGGACAGCCCCGGCTCTCATCTGGCGTCTCTGTGTGGGTCAACCTCCTGGATGCCAACGATAATGCCCCAGAGGTGATTCATCCCCTACTCAGTGATGGAAAAGCCAGCCTCTCAGTGCTCGTCAATGTCTCCACAGGCCACCTTCTGGTGCCCATTGAAACTCCCAGTGGCTTGGGTCCAGTGGATACTGACAAAGCACTGCTGGCCACACATGGCCCCCAGCCATTCCTTTTGACGACCATTGTAGCAAGAGATGCAGATTCAGGGGCAAATGGAGAGGTCTTCTACAGGATTCGGAGTGGGAATGAAGCCCGCCTCTTTGTCCTCAGCCCCGACCTGGGGCAGCTGTTCATCAATGTAACCAATGCCAGCAGTCTCATTAGGAGTAAGTGGGAGCTGGAAATAGTGGTGGAAGACCGTGGCAGCCCCTCCTTGCAGACCCAAGCCCTGCTGAGGGTCTTGTTTGTCACCAGCATGGACCACTTGAGGGACCCAGCCCCTGATTCTGGGGCTCTAAGCACATCGGTGCTGACGGTAATCTGCCTGGTTGTCCTGCTCGCCGTCTTTGGGCTGATCTTGGCTTTGATCATGTCTGTCTGCCGGACGGAGAAGAAGGACAGCAGGGCCTATAACTGTCGGGAGGCTGAATCCACCTACCGCCACCAGCCCAAGAGGCCCCAGAAACACATTCAGAAAGCGGACATCCACCTTGTTCCCGTGCTCAGAAGCCCAGCGGATGAGCCTGGTGAAGTTGACCAGCTCCCCAAGGATGTTAGCAAAGAAGCAATGATGGAAGCAGGCTGGGACCCCTGCCTGCAGGCCCCCTTTCATCTCACGCCAACCCTCTATAGGACCCTGCGTAACCAAGGCAACCAGGGAACACTGGCTGAGAACAGAGAGGTGCTGCAGGACACAGTCAACCTCCTTTTCAACCATTCCAGGCAGAGGAACGCTTCCCGGGAGAACCTGAACCTTCCTGAGCCCCAGCCTGCACTGGGCCAGCCCCGCGCAAGGCCTCTGAAGGCGGCAGGCAGCCCAACAGGGAGGCTGCCTGGAGACCAAGGCAGCGAGGAGGCCCCACTGAGCTCACCAGCCTCCTCCGCAACCCTGAGGCGGCAGCGAAATCTCCACGGCAAAGTGGCCCCCGCAAAGGAGTCAGACCCCCAGCAGATCCTGCGGAGCCTGGTCCGACTGTCTGTGGCTGCCTTTGCGGAGCGGAACCCTGTAGAGGAGCTCACTGTGGATTCTCCTCCTGTTCAGGTACCTCGGCGTGGGCAGCTCTTACTCGGGTCACCCCTGGACCACTACCAACAGTATCAGACACCACCATTATTCACAATCCTCATATTCCTTAGGCTTACTGGGCACTTCATGGTGCATTGTGTGCAGCCATTCAGCGTATAGCTCTGAGGTCAACAGAACTGAGCTGTGTAATCCTGGATAAATTACTTACTGTCTCTGAGCCTTAGTTTTCCTATCTGTAAAATAGGAATGACTGTAAGAGCATCTGCCTCAAAGAATTGTCCTGAGGATTGGATGAGTTAATTCCTAGACAGCACTTGCTCAGGGAGCCTGGAGAAAGGAGACGCACAGCCAAGGTAGGGACTAAGAATAAGAGCTTTGGAGCAAGGCTGCCTGGATTCAAATCCTGGCTTCACACCTTCTAGCAGTGCACCACAGGGGAGTTACTCAGCCTCTCTCTTGAAGATGTCCATGTTAATAGTACTCATCTCCTAAGGTTGCTTGAAGACAAAGCCTCTAGAAGACTGTCTGACACCTAGACAGCACTCAGCAAATGATTATGATGACTTCCGCAAAGCCCCTTCCATCTCCACGGGGCCAGGCCCCCTGTGGAGCAGGCTGGCACGGGCATCGTCGCCCCCAGGCCCAGGGGCTGCACACCCCCTGCTTGGGACCCTGAGCTCGCTGTCTGGGTCTGCAGGATGGGGCAGTGAAAACGACCTTGAAACCTGGGCATTAGGCAGGTCTGGGCTCAAATTTGGCATGGCTACTTAGAAGCTGGGTAACCTTCAGCCTCGTTTTCCTCATCTATAAAGTGGGGGTTACGATGCCAAACTTACCCTGTGTCTACCTCCCAGGGGTCTGAGACTTAAATGAGATGATAAATGGCAAAGTGTCTAGAGACCTAGGATTTATTAGACACAAATGGGAAACATTTGCAGAGATGGTGCCTGATATCACACTCATATCTGCTCCCCGGCACCCCAGATCATTTTCCCTGTGCCAGCTGCCCATCCAAATTGCACTTCTGTTTGGCCAGGCCATCAGCGAAGGCTTCCTGTGCAGCAAGGACACAGCTTCCTTCCCCCACCCCCTCCGCAGGAAGCCACCTGGAGAGGGCCCAGCTGCTTTCTCAGGAGTCTTGCCCTGAGCTCTATGCAGCCCCAGAGATTGCCCAGAGTCATTCATTCATTCATTCATTCATTCATCCATCAAATGCTTACTGAATGAGCTCTTTATGCCAAAAAACAGTTTTTAGTAAATAGAGACAGTAGGAGCAGACTCTGTGGTTGGCCCCAGGGGTTATGGAAAGAAGGGTTGATCCCAGCCCACTTGGGATCAACTTGAAGGTAAGAGGAAGTTCACCTGACATCTTTTTAGCAGCACAGTGCCACAGCGGAGTCAGATCGAAGTTCAAATTCCAGCCCTACCAGTCATTGCCATGTAGCCCCTGTCAGCCTCAGGTTTTACTCCTGCAAAATGGGTGTAATGGTATCTCTTCCCTTGAGTTATTGTAAGAATTAAATGAATTATATACTACTTGAGAGTTATTAAATAAATGATATATACTTTTACTCATTTAATCTTATAACCACAACCACTGTATGATCAGGATCTTATTATCATTCCCTTTTTACTGTTGAGGAAACTGAGGCTCAGAATGCTTATTAAGTAATTCCTCAAGACCTCATCGGTGGGAACTGTGGCAGGGACAGATTTAGGATTTGAACCTCAGTCCAACTGACTCCAGAGTCTGGGCTCTAACTATGAAGTGACCTTGAATGACAGTGCTCAGCTTAGGGGATGGCACTCAGGAAGTGTCCCTGAGATATAGGCTGTCACTTGGGAAAAGGGCGGCAGGTGCCTCAGGAGATGGGCTCTTCCCTCAGGCAAGCAATGGGACCCTGATCTCCCGAGTCACACTGCAACCCCAGTCCTGGACACCTTCCCTTCCAACTCTCCTCTGAGATGGGCACTTTCTGTCTCGCCCAGAGAGAAGGAAGGGCCTTCCCGGGGAGGAGCGCAGTGGGCTCGGGAGGCAGACACCGTGTTTCTGGGAGAAATAACCCAACCTTCTTGCATTTGTGGAGCCTTTTTTAAGGATTTTATTATTTTTAGAGAGGGGAAGGGAGGAAGAGGAGAAAAACATGGATGTGTGAGAGAAACATGGCTCGGTTGCCTCTTGTATGCTCCCTGACTGGGGACTGAACCCACAGCCCAGGCTTGTGCTCTAAATGGAAATCAAACCAGTGACCTTTTACTTTGCGGGATGAGCCACACTGAGCCACACTGGTCAGGGCTATGGAGCATTTTTAACTTCCGAACTATCTAATACTGACAATTAGATCAATTAATCTAATTAATTTCTAGCTCCACCTCAAAGGTCTGAGTAGGTCTAAAAATCTGCTTGACATTACACAAACTAGAAATGACCTTGAACTAGAACTCAGCCTCCCAAGACTTGGTCTGTTGTCTTCTCCCTCACGAGGCCCCGCAGGGTCTGGCACTGACATCCTGCCCAACTTCCGCCCCATTCTCCAGGCATCTCCTCTGGCCTTTCAGTGTTCAGGGCCCTCTGTTTGGAGCGCCCTTCACCCCAGGCCCAGACCCTCACCCTCTCTCCACTTGCCACACTCCACTGGAGTCTTGGGGTCTCAGCAGAGGTGCCCACCATGCAGTGTGAACTCGATAAACACTTATAGAAATAAGTGCATAAACTTCTCCCATTTCACCCCACAGACTCCTCTTTGCTCCCACGTTGGGTGAGTAGCCCCCTTCTGCTCCCACAGACCCCCAACATTTGCCCCTGTAGTAGCCACTGTGCCCTGTCCTCCCTGGCGACTATGAGCGCCCTCAGGGCAGACATTGGGCCTTGCTCTCATTCTTATTCCCGTGGTGACCACAGGGCCTTAGCACAAATGAGCACTTACTAAATACCAGCTGGCTGAACGAAAGCATGAATCAATGAATGGTTAAGTGACATCATTTTTGCCTTCTCTACAGCAGAGTCTTACACCTGGCCACAAAAGTTGGCTGAGTGCTTGAATACTGCTGAAGGGGGGGGCAATAACTCTTCAACATAATTCTGATCAAAGTAATAATTAATTCATGGTCAGGAAATGCCTTTTCCACCCCCATCTCCACAGATTCCAGCAGAGGCAGGTCACTTGTGGGGGATGAGCCCAGAGGGTCCCCATTCTCCCCCGGAGACACCCAGGGCCTAGGATGACAAAGGCAAAGCAGGGACCCTGCCTGTGCAGGTCCGAGCCTCTGTCACAGCTCCCTGCTCACCACCCCCATCTGAGCATACAAACATCTGAAGTTGGAGGAAAAACTATAAAAAGAAAGTGCCGGCATTGAGGGAAACATCCGGCGAGGAAGTGTGCGGGGTCGGAATTGTGTGGAGTCAACAGATTTTTCCTGTCTTGTAGCAAATCTCCCAGCTGCTGTCCCTGCTGCATCGGGGCCAGTTCCAGCCCAGACCTAACCACCGGGGAAATAAGTACTTGGCCAAGCCCTGCAGCGGCAGGTAAGCGCACGTAGCCCCAGCTTCTCCAGCTTCTCCAGCTTCCCCTCTGGCCTCCCCTCTCCCCTGCTGTCTCTGAGACTAGGGAAGGGAGCACCTCCCAGCCGAGGCTCCCCTGGGACAGTGCAGTGCACAGCGTCCCTCCCCCAGCCCAGGCCACTGGGGCCTGGAGCCACTGTATTTATAGTATTTACAGGACAGTGTCACTAAGGAAATGACTTCATACCTAAGGCTCTGATTATCTGTCCCCTGATTGCAGAGGTGCTGGCCTAGGGACTTCAGATCTGTAACTTGCGGCTCTCGTCTCTTGACCCTTAAACATAATATGAAGTGGCTAAGGAAATGGGTATGTGCATGTGTTCCTTTGGGCTGTTCCAGAATTAGAGAGACTTCAAGAGGACATCTAATCCAACTCCTTGTTACAGATGGAGAAACTGAGGCTCTAATTAGTTTGATGCACCCAGTCATGTAAACTTGAGCGAGTCAGGGAAATCCCCAAATCCTTGGTCTCTCGTCTTTAAAATGAAGGTCACCACACTTCCTCGTACTGATGGCGTAAGGATTTAATGGTCCAAGTATTCTAAGCCCCATGGCTGGCACATGGAAAGTGTACCATCAACACTAAGTCCTTTCCTCTTAAAGTGACTTTGACCAAGGTCATAAAGCCAGTGAGTGGCAAAGCTGGGGCGAGCTCTCAGGGCACCTGACTCCTGGTTCAGTGCTGTTGCCTTGACAACCTGTAGCTCCTTTTTTCCCCTTGTTTTTTCAAGGATAGTGGGAGGTAGTAGAGAGCAGGGGTGAGTACTCCAGAGCCATAGCAGCCTAAATTTGAATTCCCACTGGGGACCTTGGGCAAGCTGCATTATCTTCACAAGTCTCAGTTTCCTCTTATGTAAAATAAGAACGATAACAAGAGAACTCCTTACAGATGTGAAAGGTTTCATGAAAAGGTACATATACCCTGCAAAGCATATGGCCTGGCTCAGAGTAACTGCTCAGTAACAGGAGATGTTGTCATCCACACTTGCAAACCTGCCTCCTCCCTGCTGATCCCTTCAGAGAAGCAGAATTGACCACGGGAAAAACAAAAAAACAGAAAAGACCCCCAGGGCTTAAAATCCCTCGGGAGCCACTCCTCCTGCTGGGACGATGTGGGCCGGTCCTGTCCACCCCACAGCCAAGAGGTTTCAGGAACTGGCCTCCCCAGGTGATGAGAGGAGTCCCTGGGGGAGAGGAGCCCAGCAGGAGGCAGTAGGAGTGGGAAGGAGGGTTAGTTGATTCTGAATAGCTTTTGGATGTCTCTTCAGCAGCATCCTCTAGAGGTCTGCTCTTCTGGTCTGGGATTTGGCCCCAAATAGGGAGCAGGGAACATTCAGTCACCCAGTCCGCAAAGTGTAAGTACCTACTATGAGCTGGGTCCTGTTCTGAGCCCTAATAGAGGGCAAGGCACGAGACAGACAAAACTGCTACCCTCGCTGGAGCACACAATTGACGGAGGGATGAATGGGTGGGTGGGCGGTTGGACAGATGGAAAGATGGATGGATGGTGGATGACTGCACTGGCTCAACCAAAGTTACTCATCTCCTACTCTGTGCTAGGCAATGTGAAGAAATGGGAGGGACGATAGTGAGTAATCACACAATGCTTTCATCATCATTTCTCTTTTCTGAGTGCTCACAATGTACCAGACACTGTACTAAGCTCTTTACATACAGCATCTCATTTTACCCTCACCACGCCCCTCGAGTTGGGTGGCGTAAACTCAGAGTAGGCAGGAGGGCTGGGATCGAGTAACTCAGGCTGGTCTGACTCTGAAGGCTGAACTGTGGGTATCGGGTGCCTGTGCAGACCGATGAAGGCTGGCATGAACGGAACAAGGTCCGTGAGCTGGAACAAATGAACCTGCGTGTGAACTGGCTCACTTGTGGGCTGAGTGGGTTTCCTTTGCAGGAGTGCAATCCCAGACGCAGAGAGCCCAGGGGCCAGGGCTGGGGGACAGGCAGAACCAGACCAGGAAGAAGGACCCTTGGACCTTGAAGAGGACCTGTCTGTGAAGCAGCTGCTAGAAGAAGAGCTGTCCAGTCTACTGGACCCCCAGAAAGGTAGGGACTCCCCGGGGTCACCCTAACCCTCCTCCTGACCCCAGCACTCACATGCCCAGGTTTCAGAGCTCTGCTCCAACCCACCGCAGGGAAACACAGCCGTCCCGTGTCTGGGGAGGAACACCAGCAATATTTTACTTCTCCTGGAGCTTCAAATGGTCTCTGTTTGTTTAAAGAACAGATTCTGCTTTGATTATTCATTTTACAAATCATCATAAGAAAAGGGAACAATTGCTGAGCTCTTGGGGTGTGCCAGATACAGGAAACATCTTCAACGCATTACCTCATTTTACCTTCCCAACACTCCTTGGAGGTAGACACTATGCGCTCCAACTTAGAGATAAGCAAACTGAGGCTCAGAGAGATAACTTGGCCTGCCCAGAGTCACCCAGCTCATTACTGACTGAGGGGAGCCAACCTGGGCCTGCCTGGCATCGGGAGACCCTGCCCCCTTCACCTCCTGAACCACCCCTTTGAATTTCTTTGGTGTTCAAATGTCCTTTTACCCTGAGAACTGAGTCAACACTTTAATGTGCTAACACCTCTAATGGAAAGGAAAAGAACTTTTTTCTAGAGAAATAATTTGTTTGGAAAATAGACATGAAACATGAACTTTAACTCAAGAGCCTGCTGGCGGGCCCCGCTGCTGCGGACACCAGTTGGCCCCTTGGGGGTGCACCCGCCGGTCCAACCTTCCCAGGCCCTGTCGTTCCTGTGGTGGGCAATTCGTTTCTCATCCGCACACACCGAGTGCTCCGTCTGGCTGCAAACGCGCTGCGGGCATGGCAGGCACCTCCTTTCCTTGGTTAAAAAATATACGGCTAACATTTCCTGAGTGCTTTTAACGTGCTAGTCCCTGTTCTCAGGGCCTCGCGAGAAGCTCCTACGAGACAGGGATGATTCTTCATGGCCATCTCATAAAGGAAAGATCTGACGGGCCGGGGTGTTAAATAATCTTCCCAAGGTTGTGTAGGCATTGGTTATTGACACTGGCAGTGTGGCTCTAAACTGAAATTTAGTAAAATTAAATCTGATTAACATTAAGTGTGTGTAAATGGAAAGTCCCGTTCCTCAGTCATACCAGCTCCATTTCGAGTGCTCGACAGCCACGTGGGTTAGTGGGTACAGCCTCGGACAGCACATGCATAGAAAGCTTTGCAGGACTGTATTGTCTAGAATGTAGAGCTGTGAGGTCCACCACAGCAGCCACTAGCCACACGTGAAAATGGCTAGTCTGAATTGAGATTTGGTGTAACTATAAAATACACTCCAGATTTTAAACACTTAGTATAAAAATATATGTATTATCTCAATGATTTTAAAATACTGTTCGATTATGAGATAAAGTAATGACATTAAGTATAAAATGTTTTATAAATTAATTTCACATTTTCTTTGTACTTTTTTAAAATGTGGCTACCAGAAAATTTCAAATGACCTCTGTAGCTCACATTCTGTCTCTATTGGGCAGCTCAGCTTGGGGTTCAGTTCCCAGGTGGCCCCGCTTCCCCACAGCGCAGGGGGCAAGAAGCACAGGGGGTGGGGTGAAGAGGGCAACAGCGACGCAGACACCTGAGCTGCTCATAGGCCTGGACTTTGACGAGGCCGCTGGCGAGGGTGTGGTGCACCGGGTGTGGGCGGCGTCAGATGAAAGCCCCACCTGAGGATGTGATGCTGGTTGCATGAGCTCGGTGCGTGCTGTCGGCAATCCGGCAGTCCGAGACGAGCGCGACCCAGGTCCGCCCAGAGCCTACCCGCCACAGAGGGAATTCGCCGGCGCCTTTCGACGGTTCCCAGGCGCCCCAGTGATTTTCTCATTCCAAGCTTCGTTCCTTCTGACCCTTGTACGAGGAAAGGCCTCATTCTGTAACAGCAAAAGAGTTCCAACCTTATTACCCCAGAGCCTCAGGGAACTAAGGCTTACATTTCCCAAATGTCCAGGGTTAATATTTATGTTCAGTCAATCATTCAGTAAATGTTCACCAAGCCCCAGGCGTGGGCTGGGCTGGCTGGGAAGGGGCCTGACCCTGCCTCACAGGCTGCACAGTTCCACGCTCCAGAGGCAAGATCGAGACTCATTTATATCAATATAAACAACAATTAGCTATATTTTGAAATAACCTTTTCCAAATTACATCAGCAATATTTAGATAATGTAGAAAAATATAGATAAAAAGAAAATAAATTACTTCTGCTCTGGATAATTTTGGTTAACACTTTGACATGTCCCTAGGCTTTTATTCTATGCACAGATTTAATGTTTTATTTTTCTTATTTTTCATTTTTTCCTTTGTATCGAATTTATTGGGGTGACACTGCTTAATAAAATTGTACAGGTTTCACGTGTACAATTCTATAACACATCATCTGTATATTGTACTGTGTGTTCACCACCCCAGGGCAAGTCTCCTTTCATCACCATTTATCTCCTTTCACCCTCTTCTTCCTCCCCCCGCCCCTTCCCCTCTGGTAAGCACCATACTGTCGTCCATGTCCACTTTTTGTCTTCTTAATCCCTTCACCTTTTCCACCGAGACCACAAACCCCCTCTCCTCTGACAGCTGTCAGTCTTCTCTAGGAGTCTGTTTCTATTTTGCTTGTCAGTTCATTTTGCTCATTAGATTCCACATATGAGTGAAATCAGATGGTACTTGTCTTTCTCTAACTGGCTTACTTCATTTAGCCGAATGCTCTCTATGGCCATCCATGCTGTTGCAAAGGGTAATCTTTCTTTCTTTCTCCTTTCTTTCTTTCTTTTTCTTTCTTTCTTTCTTTCTTTCTTTCTTTCTTTCTTTCTTTCTTTCTTTCTTTCTCTCTCTCTCTCTCTCTCTCTCTCTCTCTCTCTCTCTCTTTCTTTCCTTCTGACAAGTAGTATTCCGTGGTGTAAATATAGCACAATTTTTTAATCTATCATCTACTGAAAGACACTTGGGCTGCTTCTAGATCTTGGCTATTGTAAATAACACTGCAATGAACATAGGGGTGCTTATGTTCTTATGAATTAGTGTTTCAGGCTTCTTTGGATATGTTCCCAGAGGTGGAATTGCTGGGTCACAAGGCAGTTCCATTTTAGTTTTCTGAGGAAACTCCATACTGTTTTCCATAGTGGCTGCAACAGCCTGCATTCCCACCACAGTGCATGGACTTCAAAACCATTCACCTTAAACAAACATTAAATACAAGTCCAAGTAGATCTTGTGCTTTTTTTTAAGACACAGTTTCTTAACCACAAGACATTCTTTCTTCCGCTTGGGCCTCTACCATCATGCCTGGGACTAATTTCTGTGAAGGGAAAAAAGTGCGATGGTGGCACTGGAGATCTAGGAAAGTTCTCCACTGGCCTTCCCTGGACAGCCCGTGGAGAGCCAGCCCCTCCCCAGCCTGCCTCTGGGACAGGGTTTCCCGCAGCTTCAGAGCATGGGGCCCAGCGGTGACAGTGTGGACCTTAGCAGGCCTACGAAGTCCGGAGGCCATGGGTGGACGGGCGCCTGGAGCATCCGGCGGGAGGAAGGGCCAGCTCTTCCAAGTGGAGAGGGTGGTGCAGTCTCAGGGGGCTTCAAAGCCGTCAGAACTGGGGTCCGGTCTGGATTTGGTTGCCTGGTACACATGTGACTTAACTTCTTAGAACTTCATAGTTTCCTATCCATAAAATGGGATAGTTCTCTTGACTCCAAATGCTGTGTGGACGTTAAAGGAGACAATTATGTAACTGCTTGGCACAAATGTACTTAGCAAGTGCTCACCATTGTGCATACAGACAGAGGGCAGCACCAGGCCAGGAAAGGGATCCTTCCCCACTCGGCTGTGCGCCCGGCTGTGAGGGACCGGTGCAAGACGCTCTGGTGCCACGGTCCGCTGACGCAGCGCTGTTTAGAGACGGGCCAGCTTCTAGCTCTGGGCCTTCCTTGTCTCCTCCTCCCTCGGCTCGTGGGCAGCTTCAGTCAGCCACCTTCCTGCCAAGTGAGCTTCCCTGTCAGGGCCTCTTCCTTCCTGTCCTCCTCCAGCTGCCCCGTCCGTCCCCTGCCGTTTCCCTTCCCTCCTTTGTTCAGTACCCTTGCCCTGCCCACATCCCACCGTGGTCCACCCTGCCCTTCCGTGGACCCGGCCCTCACTGTCCCCTCTGTCCTCCCCGCAGGCCTGGCCCTGGAGCGGCTGAGTGTCCCAGATCCTGCCTGGATGGCCAGGCTCTCTCTGCCCCTTGCCACCAACTACCGTGACAACGTGTTCTCCCCGAACACTGCAGCCTTGGAGGAGCCGAGGACCTTCCAGACGTTCGGCAAGGGGTTGGGGCCAGAGCTGAGTCCAACGGGCACGCAGCTGGCCAGCACCTTCCTTTCGGAAATGAACTCGCTGTTGGATATGCTGCTGGTGCAGCGTGCCAGTGTGCCCGTGGAGGCCGCCTCTGAGGTGTTACGGCGGCTCTCTGTCTGCGGGAGGACCCTCAGTCTAGACCTGGCCACCAGTGGGGCCTCAGGCATGGATGTCCAGGGAAACCCGGGTGGAAAGACAGGGGCCGAGGGCAGGACCAGCAGCAGCAGGGGCCCGTGGATGCAGGGACAAGGGGCCCCGGGAGATATTACACACTCCAGGCCCTGAGGATCCTTGGACATGTTCCGGTTTCTAAAACTGTTGAGCTCACTAAGCAGAGGAGGCTCAAGAACTTCAGGTTGACTGATGCTGCCCCACAGAGTGGGCAGGGGCCCAAGAACTAACAGCTGGCTCACCAAAGCAGCCCCTTGGTAGGAGCTAACTCTGCTGCTGAATTTTTTGGAGGATGCAGATAGTTTGTGGCTGAGATGGTGTTTGCTGGCAAAACACACGTAGAGCCCAGAGGGCCAGTCCTCTAGTGGAACAGATGCTGAGGAGGGTCAAAAGCAGGACAAGGATGGCCTTGTTGCATACTGGAAGGTGGGGGGCTGGATCTTGGGGTGCCAGGCAAAGCTCTGTGACCTACTAATAAAGGCAAAGCAGTGGCTCGTTCTCCTGTTTATACCTCTCAAGAGGGGTGAGTAACAGAACGATGGGTCTTTGCCCTCTGCTCCCCGGCAAGAGGGTCAGGCTGGGCCTGGACAGCAGCGGGCCATGTCGGGGTTAAGCTGCGCAACAGTGGACACATGTGCCATTGACCCCACTCCTCTGTTGTCACATTAGCAAATAATATGCTTCTCAGCTGGAAAATTAGGGCTCAGAAAAGTGTGACTATTTATAGAGCATTTACATGAGCCAGATACCAGGCTTACAATAGGACTTAATTAATAATTTCTCAGCAACCCTGAGTGGGAGGTGCTATTATCCCCATTTCACAGGCAAGGATATGAGTTTTGGAGAGGATGAGTGTCTTTCCCAAGATGCAGCAGAGTAGACGCAGAGTCAGGATCTGGAGCCAAGTTTGTCCAACACCAAAACTCACGCCCTTCACCTTGACACTAGACCGCCAGCCAAGAAAAAGAACAGAAAAGCCCCCACAGGTGAGCTTTTGGCAGTCGTGGCCTTGTCTGAGCTCCCCTCCACAAACGCTGCGGAGTATATCTGAAGCTGAGCAGACGGCACATATTTATACTCCTGAACCCGGAGGACAGGGACTTGGGTCCGACCTGAGGCAGGCCAGGGTCTCTGCAGAATCCCGTCCTTTCCCAGCGAGCGGCCCTTCAGGTGCAGAAGCCACCTTTCCAGAAACCACCATTCGTAGGTAAATCTCCTGTCACAGCAGGTTAGGGCCAGTGAATTCAGGTGTGAGAGGAGAGTGTGTGAACTGGGTCCGTGAAATCAACACGGACAGCAGCGAACCTTCCAGAGGAGGGGAGTGAAGGAACAGCAACTATTTTCCCAAGGCTCAGCCTTACAATTTTCTTGGAAATTTGCAGGCTGTCGTTCAGCTGGCTTCTCAATAGCATGGGTCTCTCCTGCACGTTGAAGGCGAGATTCCTCCTTTTGTCCTCCTCTGGAGCTCAGCATGCATGCTCACTGGCCATGTAAATGGGCCCCTCATACTCCTTAGGGCTAATGAAAACCGCACACACTTAGAATACAGCGTGGCATCATTATCCCATTATTCTACTTTACACATGAGAGAAATAAACCCCCCAAAGCTAAGTGTTTCAGAAGCAGGGTGTCTGGGTCTCTGATCACCTCCCCTAAGGCCAGAGCAATCTCTTCACAAGACCCGTGATTCTCGAGCTGTTGGGCTCCCAGCAATGAGCGAAGCTGGAGGGACGAAGCAGACAGGGTCTCCAGGCTGACCAGCCAGGGCCCATCACAAAGCAACACATGGTGAATACTCATGGAATGAATGAATGAATGAATGAATGAATGAATGAATGAATGAATGAATGAACGAACGAGTGAAGAAATGCTTCAGAGCTCCTGTTTATCTATACTGGAGCTCCAGGTAAGACTCTAATGGGGAAAAATGGTTCCACGTGTGAAAGCGAGCCTGAAAACCGCAGCCCTGGACAGTGCTGACCTCCCTCTACTGGTGGATTTTCAGAGCAGAGCTGATGTTGGGGGGGCAGAGAGACGCGGGCAGGAGGTAACCTGAAGAACCTTGAAGCATGGCTGGCAGCTGTATGGTCGATACAACGCATCACTGCCTCCTTCGAGCTCAAAAGTCCTAAATCTGTAGTCCTTGGACCTCCCTGAATACCAGGCAAAACTTCATGCCCAGGCATTTTCCTCGGCAGAAGATATGAAGTTCTCATCAGATTCTCAAAGGAACGTGTGACCTACAAAAGGTTGTGCGGCGCCACTCTAAGTCACGACTTTAAATCTCCATAGACATGGGTAGTTTTAGTTATAAGGAGTCTGAACATTTTATAGCAAGGAAATAAATGGTGGGACAGAAAGGGCTGACTGGCCCAGAGCCCCGTGGTGGGTCTGTCTGTGGCTGGGCGAGGGTCTGGGTCTGGAATTTTAGGGTGATGTTCATTCTAACACATCCAGGGGCCTCTGGCTGGGCTTCAGGACCCCTGTTTCACTGCCTGTAAAACTGGGAGGAGGGACATTTTGCTACAGGAAGGAGTCAGTGCTTTCGTCAGATTTTCGGAGGGTCTGTGACCTAAATATGGCTAAGGACCACTGCGATCCTTTAGGTCGGTCCTCAGTCCAGCCCTCGCCACAAAACCTGGAAAACTCATGGGCGGAGCTATCCTGAGGCGACTGACCTTTGCTCAGGGTGCGGGTGTTAAGTACTGACAGTGGTACTCTGGCCTGTGCCCTGCAACCTCCTCCCAGCACGCGAATACCAGCCCTTTCCCAACAGCAGGCGGAGAGCGAGACAGTGTCTATGGTGACAGAACTGAGTGGGCTGAACAAGAAGGTCACAGAAACTTGTTGACATCAGCCAAAGATGTCAAAGCTGAGACTTTGGATGTGCTCAGAACAGTTTCCACCAATACGGGCTCTGTCCCCTGGGAGTGACTGCAGGAGCCGGTGAGCCAGTGAGCGCTCAGTTAAATGTCGTCTTAATTTGGAGAGTGCAGAGGGATTTTTTTTTAATCGACAGTCAAGCCATTCCCCACCACCTGGAGCACAATGCGGTGCTCATCTGGAGCCTGCGGGCAGCTCAGAGACCGACAGGCAGCCTCCAGTCTGTCACCCAACTTCAGGGTGGCAACTCACTGACCCTACCTCTCCTCTGGCTGAGACAAGAGCGGGATGGCAACCACCATCCTTGGGACTCTGGAAAGAACCAAATACCGAAAAGGAGGTGACATGAGGGGGAGGCTCGGCTGGGCACGCAGTGTGTAACTAGAAAACAGGTCAGCATTTTTCAGCCCCTAGTAAATATTGGGTGGGTACAATGGAATGGGTGGGGTGAGGAGGGAGGCAGGGTCAGAAGCACTCATTCAACAGATATTTTGTATTTGTTGAGCAATTACTATGCGGCAAAAGTAGCACTGGGAATAGCAGTGGGGGGTATATAGCATCAATTCTTTCATGAATATTTAATGCACCTACTAGGTGCAGGGTAGGCTTGGTGTTGGATGGAGGGGCAGTGCACAGAATCACTCACTCATTGAATAAATGTATACTGAACAGTGTATTAGCACTGAAGATACAGTGAACCAAACAGCCTTGCTCACACTGTAGCATCAGGGCTCCCTGGAAACAGCATCGCAGATGAGAAAACTGAGGCAGCAGAGCCTCACACAAAGGTCTCACTGCTGAGGACCCCAAACCTCGGGTCACCCAGTATGCTGACCCAGGCTGGCCCTGCTGCCAGGGGCCATCTCCCAGCCCTCCCCCTACATTTCCTTTCAGGGCACTGACAGTGAGTCATTCATAATGGAATTTTAATGGCAAAAGCACAGCGGTTCTGGGTCTTCCGATGCAGCCCATCCCCTGGGGCTGCGTGGAGACTGTGGTGACAGAACAGCTGAGGATTTCTGGCCCCTTGACAGCATCTCTCTCAGGACTCTCCCATCCTTCTCTCTCCACAAGCAGAGCTTAAAAATATCCCACCTCCAGGTTTGGCACAGACAACCGAATCAGTACTTAATCTGTAACAATTGAGAGGGAGGGAGAGCCGTATCTGGCCACCACCGCAGGACACCCAGTGTCCCTGGACAGTCTGAACTGCTCCTTGCCCCAGGCATGGTCAGGAGAAAGCAGTAATCAGAGAACCCAAAATGACAACCACAGGGGAAGAGGATAGCAAGTGGGGCTCCATGAGAGGGTGCCCCACAAAGGTCACGGCAATCTGCAGGGAGCTGGCTCTGTGCTCAACCCCACAAGGGAAGCACTGGGTTAACCAAGCTCTTTTCTGCTGGACTTCTTGGAACCTGGAATATGCTGATGTGCATTGTGAATCTATAAAAAGGGGATGTCTAGTGCAGCAGTGCTTCCCAAACTTACTTGACCACAGAAACCTTTATTTTTTTGCAGAGAGATCAGTGCACTACATAGCTTAAAACTAAGCTTTACCCCACGTGCACACTGAGCTCCCACCTGAGCAGGGCTGTGTGCTAATTGCTGAGGACACTGCAATATGAAGACAAGGTCCCTGCCCCAATGCGAGGGGACAGGGAGGGGGAGGCCAGTGTGCAGGGCAGCCCTGGAAAGGCAGCAGGGGGCAGGGGAGGCTTAAGGCTTCAGTGGTGGCAGGAAAGTGTGCCAGGGCCACCGGAGGTTGGGGAAAGGGGTGAGAAGCAGAGAGGGAACTGTGAACACACTCTCCCCCAACTCCTCCCACCTTTGAAATGGGTCTTTCCCATTTGAACAATCACTAAGAGTTTTGCTCCTCAGTCCCTCCCACACCTCACTCTCAACCACATCTACGCTATTGAACTTGGGCTAACATCCAAAAGCCAGGGCACGGCTATTCACAAATTCAGTAATTGGAGTCATTAGCGTTGACTCAGAAATCATTTTTTCTGAGTCTCTCTCGGAGAAGCTTTTAAGACCCTTTAAATTGGTTAATGGAAAGTTTAGAGACGAGAATGGAGCCTCGGCTCTCAGCTCCCCTGCCCGTCTCCCTGGCTCTCCCCCGCACGCTCAAGGGCAGAGTGATGAGATAATCCCCCGTTGGTTTTATTAAACTCCCGTGCATTTCTGGCACGTCCTTCCCAACAGAAGGGCTCACAACCCACACTCTCCTGCTCCAGGAATCTCCATTCGCTCCCTCATGTTGGCAGGACGGTGAAAACGCTTTCGTGTAACATTACATGTGACAATGCAAAAGAGCCCTGGCCCAGGACTCAGGAGGCCTGGGTCCTCTCCTGGCCTGGTGACTCACAAAGCCACGTGAACACGAGCATCACCCTGCCTCCTCAGGCCTCCGTGAGCACCGTGGTCTTTTCCATGGTGAAGTGGCCCCGATCAGCCCCGCAGGGGAGGAGGGCGGACACCACTGCCCTTTGTCTGCAGCTGCAGAGAACACTGCAGTGAGTCGGGCAGGTGAAGGTGACATGGCCACACAAAGGGTCATGGCCAGAACCTGGGTCTTCACACACTTCCTGTGCTGCGCTGGGGCGGGCATTTAAGGTTCTTTGGGAAGGCTGGCGGGTAACTGGCCTCTTCCTGGGGACTCAAGTTTGGTATCTCTCTGAGAACCCACAGGCTCCATCTTTAGGGGCCGAAGGTCTGCAAAAAATCGAGCAGGAAAAAAAAAAATCAAGCAGATACATCAGGCATTTAGGCAAGAAACTCCTTAGTTCCAAACTGGACAATCACGAATCCAAAGCGAACTGACTCAGTGTCCCCAGTTCCGGCTGCTCACGGAGCCGCCTCAGGACTCCGCCCCCTCTCTGGACCCGTGCTCCCTGTGGGCCACGTCACGACGAACTGTTCTTCCTATCAGTGAAACCCCTTGTATCTCTGAAACATGATAGTCATATTTACACATTATATAGTAAATATACAACTACTAAAATGAAAATATTAATTTGAATACCACCTAAAATCCTCTTGTGAACCACCAGAAGCACACAGATCAGATGCTGGCAAAGAAAAAAAAAATGTGGTCTAAGCTTGAGGAAACTATGGGGAAGGAGAAGGTCACTGATTTTTTCCAAGACAAAGGCTGAATGAGGACCAGGGTCTCTGGACCCTTCAGTACAGTTTTTCACAGGTCACTGAATGATTCTTTTTTGTGCACCAACTAGAAATGCCTGTAATTGTACCCACTGCTGCTCTGTGAGGCTATCAACTGGGGGAAAGGTCAAAGTCATTTATTAGCCATGCACTTGGAATTGCTTAAGAACCTGGCTCCCACTGGAATTTCTACCCTGGAAAGGGTTACTGACACCCATCTTATTGCCATCCACTTCCTCCCCAGCCTCCCCATCCCGCACCAGTGACAGGTATTACCAGTGACTGTGCTTGGTCTCACCTTAGCCAAAACCCAGTCTGACAACACTCCTCTCCAAAGGCCAGGGATGTGGGGGGCCAGGCCTGCTGGGGGCTCCAGGGCTGGCTCCGAGATGGCCACCTCTGCAGAGGAGGCCAAGGTTCCCTGTACTCCAGGCATGTGGGAGGCATGAGGCTCCTGCCAGCAGGGGGTTCAGGCTGCAGAGGGAAGGGCTGGAGAAGGACTTCGGTCCTGTGCCGGCCAGGTCCCGGGGCCCGGGGGCTGCAAGGCGAGGTGAGAGGAACTCTTACTCATGCTGTATTCCTGGGTTCCCACTTTGCAGCAAGGACTTCTTAAAGGACTTGGTTCCCCCTGCGGTGTTAACTCCTGCCCGGCCAAGGGACTTGGGCGCGAGCAGGGTGCTCAGGGCCCTAGAATGGTAATTCAGGGTGCTGAGGCAGCCTCGGGACATTGTCCCTCCTGGAAAATCACCAGAGCAGCTACCATTTATTTAATACCTACTGTTTGCCAGGCTATGTTAAGCCCTTTACAGTCACCACATTTAATGCTTACAACCACCGAGTGAGTAAAGCACTACTAGTACCCACATATTCCAAGGTGAAAAAACTGAGGCTCAAACACATGGAGTCCAAGTTCAGTGACAGCACACAGTTAAAACAGGTTTGTCTGACTTGAAAAGCTGTGCTGTTACCCATCACTGGGGCAGGAAATGACAGGACACCAAGAGCTATTGCCACGCCTCCTCTGTCACAGGTGTGGAGCTCAGTGACTTGCCTCCGTACCTGCTGCCTCCATGGAAGAAAAGAGGGTCCGAAGCCTCTCCTCGGCAGGCTCATTCCCCAGAGCTGCTGACTGCTGGTAACATCTCAGAGCCTCTGCCAGATTCCTCTGCACACCAAGGCCCCTCTCATGGCAGATTCCCAAGTGGTATCTGCTCTGTGAGTCCTAAAGGAGAACACAGGCAGACACACAGATGTGCACACATGCAGGACTGAAGAACTGAATGCCAAGGCAGGAGGAAGGTGGAGCAGTCAGGCATGCTGACGCTTTGTCGGGCAGGGGCAGGGGCCAACGCCGGCCCTCCCTCTATCCTGGATCTCATCTATGACAAGCCTGAGGCCCCAAGCCCACCCAACACAATAGACCCCTCCACCCAGGGAGGGAGGGTCTAGCCAGAGCAATTTATGAGCTTCTCTCTGTGAGGCTAAAAGTATGCAGAAGTGAAGGCTGCAGGCAGCACTCAGCCCAGCTATGGGAAACCCGAAAGTCAGGCTCCTGTGTTATCCTGAAAGAGTCAGGAGCAAGGGTGGAGATTAGACTTCCCAAAGGCCTTCCTGAATTTCTGCAAAGAGGGCTGCACAGAATACATTACAAAAAAAGTATTTCTCCTCATCTGAAAGGTTAGAAGGTGGCCCCTTTGCCCAAGGTTCAAAATCCTCTCTACTCACTGAGAACTATCTCCTCCTCGGAAAGGCAGTGTCTGCTCAGGCTGGAAGCCAGGCCTACACAGCCAGACTGCATGGCTTCCAGCCTGGGCTCCACCATGTACCAGCTGTGTAACTCAGGGATGTCGGCCTACATCTCTGTCTCAGTTTCCTCATCTGTAAACTCAACATAATAATGGCACCTGCCATATTATGCTGTTGTGAGGATTAAATGTGTTAACATACAAAAAGTACTTAGATTAGTGTTACTATTTTCATACCTCGAGTTGCCTACATCATTTCTCTCTCACTCTCTAGTGGAATTTTTTCATTATATTCAATCTTTCAACTTAAAACAACAAAACTCTTGGTTGATTCCCAACCCTGGTCTAATTTCTCTTCTACCTTCCACGGTTAAATTTCTAAAAGGAGTGTCTGTAGCAGGCAGACCAAAGTCTGTGCAATGACGTGGTGGGCTCAAGGCTACGGGCCGGCTGAGAACACAGCACTCGGTATTTATAAGGCCAAAACGCCCGTCCTGCCTCCACTCAGCACAAACCTGGGGAGATAAAGTCCCTGGTGGGATGGATGCATGTGAGGCCTGTGCCTCAGTGCAGTCACCTGACACCCCTTTGTGCATCTCGCCTCCTAGCGTGCTGGAGGACTGAAGCAGGCAGGGTGCTGTCCTCTGAAACAGCACAGAGGACAGTGCTATCCCTGAAACAGCACAGGGATACGAGCCTGCTCAGCCCTGGGTGTGCTCTGCAGCTCTTTTAAGGAAAGACAGGCACAGAGGACAGTACTGGTTGGTGACACCAGTCCTGTTTGACAGCTACTACAGGTACTCTGGGCAACGCAGAGTGAAAAGGGGCAAGTGCTCTGATGCCCAAGAGATCACTGAAGCGATCGGTGTGTTTGGCCAGAAAACAGAGAAGCCACAGTCTCTATGCAGGGCAGTGCCCGTCCATGCATGCTGCTTGCATTCATCAGGGCTCCTGGGCCTTCAAGGCGCAACTCAGAAAAATATACCGCTCAAATACACTCGAGAAATACAGCAAACCACAGATGCCTTCTCAGCGATTCACTGTGACCAAAAGTTCTGAGATTTCCTGCATTAAAGATAACTGTTTAACTCAGTATTTCCCCAAGCCAACTGACCCTTGCCCCGCCTCAAATTACTTACAAATATCCCATACAACGAACACTCTGTGGAGTCAACTCTGGGGCATTCTGCCTAAGTGAAAATGCCCCCAGTTTGCAGACAACCAGCCACAAATGCCCGGGGTATTCACTTCATGTGTCTTCTGAACCCCCTGCACTACAACAAGTGTAACTATGCACCTTTTGTGTGTACAACTGACCAGGTGCTTTCACACCTGTTATCTCAGCCAGGCTCTGATCTTCATGACGACCCTGTGAAGTGCCAGACAGGCAGGTATTATGATCCGTCCCAGGTTTAGGGACACGGAACCGGTCTGGATCTATAAGCGCTAGCCCAGCAGTGTGCTGGTTAACGTTTAACCCTGGCTCTCCAGGGGAAAAAGCCCTGCTCCGCAGCATTTAGCAATTTCTATGGTGCAAATACTCCTACCATGGCTAGTTGTACACCACCCATAGCTCTCTCAGGCAGGTTCGAGCCAGCTCCAGGACACGACTGGACCTGCACAAAGGTCCCCAGGAAGTCGGCGAGAGTTAAGGCTTAACGCTGGCCCAATATTCCTATCCAAAGAACTCGGTGCCAGTTCCAAAGTCCCTTCCTTTATCGAAGTCAATTCCCAATATGCCTGGGTACCGGAGACCTCATACCCCATTGTTGGCTGCAAGCCAAAGATACTTCACGGCTCTCTGCTCATCCAGGTATGGCTCCTTGGTGAAGAGCACCCCGAGAAAAGCCTGAGCCTGTGGTTAGGAGGAAGGAAAAACACATTTTGGTCACTGCCAGGCCCACATGCCCTGGGTGCCCAAGACAGATGCCCCATCCCTGCCCGTGACATGTACCTCTCTCAAGCCTGAGTCTGCAGCCTGCTTCAACATGGACACTGCCCTCCACTGCTTAGGGTCCCACGAGGAGGCCGGGCCCTGTAGCAGGCACCTGGCGTAGCGGTACCGAGCCAGGCTGTGGCCCTGGCTGGCAGCCAGCTGGTAGCAAAGGACAGCCTGGGGCAAAGGGAGAAATGCCATCAACTGGTGACTCTGGAAGCCAGCTTTTTCTCTGAGTGAAATTAAATAATACATAATCATAATAGATTAGTCAGAAAGTGCAGATAAGCCAAAAAATACAAATACGGATTTAAACATAGATAAAAAGAGAAATAGAAACATACGATGCTACGAAATTCTGCCTCCTAAAGATGATTCTGTTAACAGTTTAGTGTACAGCCTTACACTTCTTCATATATATGTATTTACATATGTACACTACCCACTGTATGTACTTACACACACATAAACATGCGTATGTGTGTAGGGGAAGAGAGGTGCACAGAGGAAGCATGAGCGCCTATACTCGCAGGGTGCACGCTCAGTGTCAACCAGTATCAATGAATTCTCCACTGGGAAACAGGTCGCTTCCCTTTGCTATCATATAAAATTTCAAGAAATGCATTCTTGCATATAACATCTAAACTTATCCTTTTTTTACATTGTTTCTTTCAGCCTTATCTTTTTTTTTTTAAGACTTGTTTATTTATTTATTTTTAGACAGAGGGGAAGAGAGAGAGAAAGATCAATGTGTAGTTGCCCCTTGCGCTCCCCACAGTGAGGAACCTGACCTGCAACCCAGACATGTGCCCTGACTGGGAATCAAACCAGTGACCCTCTGCTTCGCAGTCCGGTGCTCAATCCACTGAGCCACACCAGCCAGGGCTTCACTTACCCTTTTTTAGAATCAATGAACCCACTCACCAAAGCGACATTCTAGGCCAGGGGTGTCAAACTCATTTTCACCGGGGTTTCAACATTAGCCTTGTGGTTGCCTTCAAAGGGCAGAATATAATTTCAACTCCTTAACAGTCAAGGAGTAGTTACATTTATACAGTCCTAAAATTACATCCAGCCATTTGAAGGCAACTGCGAGGCTGATGTGGCCCCAGTGAAAATGAGTGTGACACCCTGTTCCAGGCCCTGAGGATGCAGCTGCAAAGAGGATAAGGGCACTGGTCTGACTGAGCTTAGAGTCCAAATTCCTAGAAATTTAAGAGGTGTTTAAAAAATTGTTATTTATTCATTTTTTTAGAGCGGGGGGGGGAGGAGGGAGAAACACTGAGATTGGTTGCCTCTCACATGCCCCCAACTAGGGGACTGGCTTGTGATCCAGGCACGTGCCTTGACCAGGAATCAAACGAGCGGACCTTTTGGTTCACAGGCCAGTGCTCCACCCACTGAGTCACACCAGGCAGGGCATTAAGAGCTTTTTAAAAATGCTTCCCTCACAGCTGGGAGAGGGATGGGGGCTCTCTCCAAACCCCGCCCACTGCTCTTTCTGGAGGTCACTCTGGGCCTTGCAGCACAGGGCGTGGGTCTGGGGCAGGAGAGGGGGTAGGGTACCTTGCCGAGGTCCCTGGAGGTGCCTCTGCCATACTCATGACACAAACCCTCGTTGTACTGTGCTTTGCTGTAGCCGCGTGCTGCTGCTTTCTGGAAGTAGGAAAAGGCCGCCGTGTAGTCCCCGTTCCTCATATTCTCTGTCCCTGTAGGAAAGTGCAGGGTGTAGACACTCACCGCTTCCTCTTTGAACCTCCCCACATCCTCAGCCAGGTGCCCACGGGCTTCTTCCCTTCTTTTTTTGTACTGGACAATATGCATGTATTTCCATCCTCCTGATGTTTCACTGGCTAGCCATACACATCAGTGGGTTCTGCCCTCATCTATACCATCCTCCTCTGGGTTGTAACATCCTGATTTCCCTCTGAGAACAGCCCTTTCCCCAGTGCTGTCAATCAACGTGTCTCCTCTCTTCCCAACCAATGAGACACTCCCCTGAGAAATCTGACTCTTGATCTCCTTCCCCCAGGAGAAAACACAGCTTTTGCAGGTTGATTCTGAGGACACACTATCAGTTACTGCACCCTGGGTCCAGGGGGCTTCCCTGATTCCCGTCCTTTCTGAGGTTCGGCAGGTCAACAGATCTCAACAGGTTCCTTTCATATTTAAGTTAGCCAAAGTGGATTTAGGCCAGGGTGTCAAACTCATTTTCAGCAGGGGCCACATCAGCCTCGTGGTTGCCTTCAAAGGGCTGAATATAATTTTAGGACTGTGTAAATGTAACTACACCTTAACTGGGAAAAGGAGTTCGGCACTGCTGCCAGGTAGAAACAAGGTGTCAGGGGGGATAAAACAAGGTGTGGGGCCAGACTCGGCCCGCAGGCTTTGTGTTTGTCACCTGTGATTTAGGCTGTTCTAACCAACACAACCTCACCCAGCTGACAACTGTTAACGTTGCTTTACGGAGACATTGTGAAAGATAATACAAGGGAGCAAAGACCTGAATTCAGGTGTGTCCAGCTCCAAAGCCCATGTTCTTTGACTTTCCAAACAAAAAGGAAAATAGGAAAGGGGCAGGTGCAGCTGGCTCTCAACTAGAAGCCTTTGCCGATCTCTTTCTCCTGCCTGCCGCATCTTTTCTGCCTCCATCATCAAGCCTTCAAGTCCCATCTCTGCCCTGGAACCTGCAGACCACACTCAGGCTTCACTTTTTTTTGTCACTTACTTAATATACAAGTCTTTTTCTACGAACTAAACTGTTTCAAGAGTGCAAGCCCGGTCTCCTCAATTAGACTCTAAAATCTTGGAAGCAGAAGCAGAAAAAGAGTGTAGAAATGACTTTACATAGGGTGAAAGCTCTATACAAATGCAAAATATGATTACGGCTTATGCTTCTTTTGTGTTCTGTCACAGTGCTTAGCACTTGCTGAATAAATGAATATGTGAGTGAAGGATGGGCAAGAAAATCCTCAGAAGAGACTATCTGCCCATCTAAATCACAAAAACTAATAAGGTAGAAGCCAGGTTGCATTCAGCCAGCACTGAATTAAAGTTGCCTCCCTGCTGTCTGAAAACTCTCTGGCCAAGTTCACAGAGCCCTCTTGTCCTTGAGAAGACTCGAGAGGGCAAAAGATCCCCCCTGACCCCACTGCCCGCACTGGCTCTATCAACAAGCCCTGATCCATCTACTCGTCTCAGTCTCCTCTGCCTCTACCCTGGACAAGCCACCACTGCATCTTGCTTAGTCATCAGTAACAACTCAACCCAGTCTCCTGTTCCCCCTCGGGCTTCCCTACAATCCACATTTGTCCTCACGACAGCCAGAGAGATCTTTAGAAAAGTAAATCAGACCATGTGACTGCCCTTCCTCCTGCTCCGGCATAAAACCATCTAATGGCTTTCTGCCTCACTTCGAACGTCCACACTGTACCGTGGCTCAGAAAATCTCACTTGATCTGGCCTCTGCTGCTTCTCTGACTCCACTTGCCCAGTGACCTTTAAGCTCTACATGGAAACAAGACAGGCTTTTTTTTTTTTTTCTGTTAAACAGGTCTTAGCTCAAAAATCCTCCCACCAGTGAGGACTTCCAAATCCAAAGTTGCTTCTGTTTAATTTTCTCCACAACATTCATCACCATCTGAAATTCTCTTTATTTGTTTGGCAATTTACTGTTTTCCTCTCCCTCAACTCACACGTTAGTTCCCCAAATAAGACTTTGTCTTATGAAACACCATATCCCCAACACCTAAAATAGGGCTGAGCAAGAGGCGAATGCTCAATAAATTTGTTCTGAATGAATCCCAGCCTCTCACCCACCTGCTCACTAGAACTCCAATAGATGCTACTAGGACCACACATTGGAAGGCCTTAAACTTAATTGGGACAAATAGTGCAGGGGCATCTGGAGTCTCCAGATATGGGCAAGAAGTTCCTGTTCATGCACTTGAGGGCCTGTCACAAACCTCAGGAGCCCGTCCTTGCCTATGTGGGGCAGAGAATGAAAGGTAGTCTCCAAGACTTTCTCCCCGCCTTACATAGTAACAGAATTTTCACGTAGGCACATGGTCATTCAGCTAAAGACTACATTTCCCAGTCTCCCTTGCAACTACGGGCAGCCATAAGTACATTCTAGATGACAATTTGTGCAATTTCTAGGTCATGTCCTTAAAGGAAAGGAGTGGCCCTTTAGCTTTCCCACCTTCCCCCTTTCAGCTGCCTAGAATATGGATATGAGGGCAGGAGATAAAATAGCCAAGTAGGACCTCAAGAGGGAAGCCAGCTTTAAGACTGGCAGAAAGGTTTGAGTGAGAATGGGTCCCCAACACCACTGTGCCACCATGCCAGATCCGTCCACGTACCTGAGAGAAAATAACTCTCTCTGGTTTGCACCACTCCCTGACTCTCTTTGACCTTCCCCATATTGAGGCCGGGCCCACTCAGTTACCCAGAAAGTTGAAAGCGATGGAAACACTGAGCTGGAAGAGCTGCTGAAGAGAAGTCACAGCCTCCTCCAGGGAAAGCGTTCTTGATTTATCTTGTTCCTGGGGAAGAAATATAAAGACTCACCATGGGGCAGTTCATTGGGATTGCTACCTGCCCAGGACAACGCTATAAAGATCCAGGTGGCCAAATTTGGATGATACCTGCTTCTCACCAGTGGGCTGAGTCTGGGCTGGTTTGGCCTTGGAGCTGAAGTTACTGCTGGCGTTCAGGAAGCCAACAGCACTGGGATCTACTGGGGAAAGGGCCAACACCCAGCCAGGGCAGAGAAGAAAGTGTTATTTCTCATTCTCTCCCACTTTCCCCGTCTTCCAGCCTCCCATCCAGCACCACGGCAAGCAACCACAAAAATTCTGAACTACCCCAGGAAGCATGGAGCCTCACCGGAATGACAAGCCCCTTACCCGGCAAGTACGAAAAGAAATGTTTGCTCCCCCGCCTTCTGCTGCTTCTAGGAGGTGGGGACGTACCTTCCTCAGAGGGATCCTGAAGAGCAGCTGTTCTCAAGGAGCCACGTGAGGAGAGGTTCTCAGGCTGAGTAGAGGGTTCTTCCTGGCCCAGCCTGGGTTCCCTGAGGCCAGGGTGGCTGGGAACTGGGCTGTCAGTGGGGAGAATGTGCCTCCGCAGTGCTGGAAAGAGCCAATGACAGCAGTCACAACAGAAGGGGATCAGTACAGCCTGCTCAGGCTTGACTGAGTCCTTGCTGACATTTTGGGGACCAAAGGAAGAATGTGGAGACAGACCCCTATAACAGCTCTTCCACAACCCTCCTGTCCCGTTTCCTTGGCTGGCTTCCCTTCGCAGGGGTTTGGAGGGGCCCGCATTCACCCTGATTGCCTGCCCTGAGCATTAGTCGCTCTTCTGTGTGAATTCTTCCAGTGGCAGGGAGGCATCTACTTTATTTACTCGCTGTTGTAGCCCCAGCACCTAACATTTGTTTGATACTAACATTGATAATGATTAGATCGTAACAACAAGGACAAGGACTTAAACTACTACCTACAGAGTACTTTCTATGTGCCAGGTACATAGGTCCTTGACATATATTAATTCGTTTAGTCCTCCCAAGAAACCTATGGGGTGGGGTTGATTATCACCCCATTTTACAGTTGAAGAAACTGAGGCATAGGGAAGTTTAAAGTGACTTGTCCAGGGACACCAGATTGGTCTACAGCAGCTCTGGGGCTTGAACCCCAATAGTCTGACTCCACAGCCTTAAGCAATGGGCTCACTGCCTCTGTACCGTGGCACACAGTAGCTCCCCGAGATTCACTTATTAATGGATGACTGAACAGAGAGTGACCTGACGGGCTGAGGGGCAGGCGGGAAGCCACACACAGGACCTAAAGTACCCTGCACCCTGGTGGGGCTCCCCCGTGGAAGGTGATGGGAGGACATGGGGCAGGCACTGAAGGGTGGGTGTGGCCCACACCCTGGGTGGATGGCACTTCCTCACATTCCCCTTCCTCTGGCTGCAGATAGGAAAGGCAAGGAGCTGCTGCTGATGGTTCTTTTCCTGAGGTGTGTCCAGAGATGCTTCCTGGCCCAGAGACATGCCCAGCCCGGCCCTCCTGTCCCCCAGACTGAGAACTCACAGGAGCATGGATGCCAGAAGCGAGATGAGAGGAAACAGTCCAGGGGACGGCGCCAAGAGCTGCGCTCTGCTCGCCGAGGTCCCGCTGGCAGGGATGCCTGGAAGTGGATCTGCCTCGCCAGCTGCAGGGCCAGCACTGCCAGGGTGCCCTGGGAAAGACAGCATGTCAGGGACACAGCTCTCCACTAGCCAGCTCACACAATCTCAGCCTTCAGCTCAAACACTGCTTCGAGAAGCCTTTCCTGACTCCTGGTTGGGCCAGCTCCTGCACTCCATGCCCTCACACTCTGGAACCCTGATCATACTGCTATTTAAGTAATCACCTCTACAATTATTCCACTAAGGTCTGACTCTCCTGTAGTCTTAAAGCACAACGAGGGCAGGAACGCTGTTTCTCCACACCAATGTATCCCCGGCACCTAGCAGAGTGCTAAGATACATACACTAAATAAATGCATGAGAGTTACTCTATGAACAACATCTAAGCAGGCAAAAAGATAATGTGGTAAGTTGGGGCTTTGCCACAAATGTAGCCTCAGATCAGAGCTCCCCACCAGGCTCACTCTCCTTCTCTAACCTGGCACAACTCCCCCCTTCCCCCAACCCTGACCAAGCCACCCCACCATACCCACGTTCACAGGTACGGGATCACTGAAAGTGTCTCTTCTTTAACAGCCCTGCAGAACACCTAAGCTAGCTCCTAGTCCAGTGACTGGTTTTCCCCATCTCTTCCTGTTGCAACAGGCACTGGGTACAATGACAAGACAGGCACAGTTTTAGCCTCATGAAGTTTCATATTTTCACTGAGGGAGGAAAACAAGAAGCCAAAGCACACAGAGAAATAAATACAATAATGACAACTCATGCTAAATGCCAAAAAGGAAACAAATCAGGGATTACACAGAGTGTGAGAGGGAGGCTTAGCAAGATAGGGAATCCGGGCAACCCTGTCTACGGGGGTGAAGTGTGAGCTGAGGCCAGAAGGAAGAGAAGGTGCTGGCATTGTGGCAATGTCAATAACAGGGACATGTACCCAGGGCACTGGGGACAGCTTGTGCTCAGGCTCTTTCACATGGGCAGTAGTGACAGAGGGGAGGGATATCATCAGGGCTCCAGAGATCCAGGTCCAGTTTCCAAAAAAGACTCACTATGGGGCCACCCGAGGGTCTGGATCTTTGACAAAACAGGGCAATGCTCTCCTCTCCAAGGTGTATTATGCCTCTAGTCCACAGCTCCCCAGAGAGAAGTGCCTCTATCGTGGAGACACCCCAGGCTCAGACCTGCTGACAGCACCCTTTTACAGATGAGACAACTGAGGCTCAGAGAGGTCAAGTCATGTGCCAAGGTCATAGCATAGAAGTGATAGGGATGAGATGTGACAGACATAAGAGTGATGTGTATGCCAACTTCATTCAGAGTATCTTGTAAGCACAACCTGGAAGGCAGAGATTCTGGAAGGCAGAGTTTAATAGAGACTGAGCAACTGACATATATAGATCTAATTCAGAAAATATTTACTGAGCAACTATTACGGGGTCAGAATATGTACCAGGTGCTTTGCCAAGCCATACTAGGTCCAGCAACCAAGCTATAGAGGGTGGTAGGTGAGAGTATGAGCTTCCCAGTAAAATCTAGCTCCTCAACTTAAAAGCTGTTTGACCTTAAGTCCTGGCTAGTATAGTTCAGTGGATTGAGAGCAGGCCTGCGAACCAGAGGATCACGGTTCGATTCCCAGTCAGGGCACATGCCTGGGTTGCAGGCCAGTTCTCTGCAGGCCAGTTCCCAGCAGGGGATGCACTAGAGGCAACCATACATTGATGTTTCTCTCCCTCTCTCCTTCCCCTCTAAAGATAAATAAACAAAATCTTAAAAAGAATAAAGTATTTAAAAAAAAAGTTGTGTGACCTTAAGCATGTCACCTAGTTTCAGAGCCTAAGTTTTCACATCTATAAAGTGGAGATATTTCCTTTGAACGATTTTGGTAGGGATTAAAGAAGATTTATATATATATATATATATATATATACACTTTACATTAATAAATAAAATATTAGCTATTTAGCATTATTTATTATAAGCTCCATGAAGGTGAAAATCTTATCTACCTCGTTCTTTGCTATGTCCCTAGTGCCTAGTGAAAATGCCTGGTTTAGAGAGGTGTTAAATGAATGCTTACTGAATAAAAGGAGAAGTACATGGAAGGCAGGGGACGAGGAGTGGCTCTCTCTCCCTAAATATGCTCCAATGACAGGTTACTCGAAATTCGAGTGTAGGCGCAGTAATGCCCTAGCCCACGTGTTTGGGCTCTACTTCCATTCAGGATCATTCTCATCCACACTGAAGATCAAGGACAGCACTGAGTAAGCCTTACCCAGGATATGGCATCCCACACAGTGTTCGGGGAGACACGGCCAGACATCCACTGGAAGGCATCCTTCCATCCATGGGACCTTGGGCCCCTGCTTGTGGTGGGACCGGGATCATGGGGGCCTGACCTAGATGATATAATACAGGCCATTAAGTTCTGTGCCAGGTACGGGGGTAGAGGGGGTGCAGAGAGGAGAGATGACAGATGGCAGTATCTTACCTGTCAAAGCTTGGCACAGAGACCAGCAGGGTTGAGGAGGTAGACTGAGACCCATCTGGGCTGGTGGACTTGGGGGTCACCCCCCGGAGGTCAGGTCCTAGCAGACGGGGAAGAGCTGTGCAGAGCAACAAAAATCAGTCACCTCAACATAAACAGGATTGGGGCAATGGCAGTACCATCAATCTTCCCTCTAACACCTGACAGAGCGCCACCCTAGGGACCCCGGAATCTCTGGCATCTGACTGTGCAGAGGTATTTAACACGTGGAAATCTTTCGCTTAGTATAGATTCTAGGTGCCAGCCCAGAACCAATAAACGAGGATAGTTCTGGGTGGAGCATCTATAGTTTGAAAAAAGCTCCCTAGGCGATTCTGATCCCTCCAGGGGCTAACAATCACTGTTCTAAAATGAATGACCAACAATCACTGTTCTAAAATGAATGACCAGGCGTTTATACACAAACTCTTGTTCAATATTTGGAGCAGTCTCAAAGCCCCGCCTTTTTCCATTGTCACTGCCTACTCCCTCGGCTTTACTCCTCCTGCATTGACTCCACCCACCAGGCCTGTTATTTGCCCCTCCTGCAACAGCCCCACCTATCTCCTTGGCTCTAAACTACCTTACCCCCACTAGCGTCCCCACTCTCCGAATTCCAAAGGCCCCTCCTCTGAGGCACACCCCGCCCTCTTAGGACCCTCCTTTTCCTCAGCTCTAACCCCGCCCACTAGTGCTGCGGCTCGGCCTTCCCGCCCGTCCCCTCCTCCAATTCTTGATTCTCCGCTGCCTCGAGATGTGCGGCTCCAACGCCCCTCACTTCGGCTTAGGAGTCCCGTGAGGCGCCACATGTCTTCGCCGACACCATGGAGGCTCGCAGTCAAAACAGCGGGGCCAAACCACGGGGCAGCGGCCACGGCGGCCTCTGTGGCGCCCTTCGGCTCGCTGAACCCCAAGTAAGCTCTCAGCCAGCCAATTAGAGAGGAGCTCAGCCGGAAGACCGGCTCAGCAAAAGGAAGTGGGGGTGTAGGCTTGTTTGGGGCTAGTGGGAGGTGAGCTGCGGCAAGGGCATAGGCAAGTAATGGGGACACCGTACGGAGGCAGCAGGGTCGTAGGCACCGCCTGAGAGGCGGGGCTAGAGGGGCCTGGGTGGCGCAAGAGGACCTAGCAGACACAGAGGAGACACGGAGGGGAGACCGGTCTTCCTCAGGTCCCGACGCTGGGGAAGGCGAGACCCATTGGGCAGAGGAGAGGAGCCTTAGGGTCCCACGAAGGGATCCCATAGGGCGGCTTCTGCTTGGAGAGGTATGCCTGGGCTGCCCCAGTAGCAGTGAAGGACTGTGCGGGCAGGGTTCTGACTCTGGGGTTCTAGCTCTGGCTGAGCTTTTGCTTCGCCCCGAAGTGGCTGGCCAGCCCCCTCCACTGTCAGGGCCTGAGTGTGCGTAAAGAGAGGGTCAGATAGAGTGATCTTGACTGGTCCTAACTGGTTTGGAGGCAGGATAGCAAGACGCTAGGAAAATTCCTTGGCACTTTGGGTGGGAAAACTGAGACAGATAGCTGAACAAACTGGCAGAGCAATTTATAGCCGCTACAGAAGGTCACCAGGCGGGGAAGCTGTGGTGCCTAGCAACGAGCAAAACTGGCTCTGGACCTGACCCAGAGTGGCCTTTCCTCCCCTGGCATATCATTGGTCATGCGTTTAGATGCCCTGACCTTTCAAATCGCTGGTCTATGGGATGCTCTGACCTTTCCTCCCTGGAGATAACATCTCCAGGCCCAGAAAAGCAGCAAAAGCAGTTGGGTGACCAATCAGTGCAGACCATGACCCTGAAAGGATACACCTGGAAAAGCTGATAAATATTGTATTAAGATACTCCCCTGAGACTGCCCCTAAAACCCCTGCCTTTAGAAAGCAGATAAAACAGCTCAAGTCAAAGAAGCCAGAGCACACTCTCCTTGGGACACACCCACTTGGATTTCTTCTCCTAAATCCTATGTGAATTTTCTTTCTCCTAAACCCTAAGGTACCCACAAAACTAGCAACCAGGGGCGCAGTGGGCAGTGGCAGCTTGCCCAGGGCTAACCCCCTGAACCTGTCTCCAAGGGCCCCTTTTCTCTGACTCTCCAGTGAGCTGACAGCAGACCCCCCTTGGCCCACTTCTTTCCCATAAGTAGCTCTGCCTAGGCTTTATCCTGTTGCTTCTTCCATCCTAGGCCCTCCCCTCTTTTCACTGATCCCAACTTCATAATAAATCTACTCTCAGAATCAACTGGACTTGAACCCACACACTACCTGCTGGTCCCAAGCAGACTTGTTCTGGGCTCAGCCTCTTCTGGTCACAGTTTAATAAGGAAAACTTAAGTTTCTGCTTTTAAAATAACTAAGAGGAGAACCCCTTTCCCCCGCCTACCCCTGTACACACATACCTGTTAATCAGAGCCCTCATCTTCAGACCCAGCTAACGTCATTGCTGGGAACAGAACTATTCCTCTTTCACTGCACTTGAAATAAAGGAGCTCAAGTTCAAATATAAGTTGCTTAGATTTCCTCCTTTCTTCTGGGTACTGACTTCTGGGTAGGTGAAATTCTCCATCCGGGGTAAAAGAGTACTAGGGAGTACACCTTTTAGACACAGACAATTAATACAACCAGACAGATGTATTAATTCAACTTTTGAGCCATATGTCAGCCACCATCCTAGAACCTGAGCAGAGTAAAGAGCATTTGTGGCCTCCAGAAACACGTGGTCCAGTGTCTTCAGAGTGGCCTCTGGAGTTACATTGAATCCCAGCTTTCCTACCTCCTAGCTATGTGTCTTGGGCACTGTATTTAACCACTTTAAGCCTCGAGTTTTTCATCTATAAAATAGTTGTGAGGCTTAAATAAAATAGTACATTTAAAATGTTTATCCCTGGCTAGTGTTGCTCAGTGGATTGAGTGCTGGCCTGCGTACTGAAACAGGCCAGGTTTGATTCCTGGTCAGGGCACAGGCCTGGGTTGCAGACCAGGTCCCCAGTTGGGGGCGTGCAAGAGGCAACCGATCAATGTATCTCTCACAAACATCAAGGTTTCTCTCCCTGTCTTCCTCCCTTCTCATCTCTCTAAAATAATAAAATCTTCAAAATATGTAGCATTGTTCCTGGCACACAGTATGAACCTAGTAAGTATTAGGTGCTATTTATTGTAGTAGAAGAGGTGAGTAGGCAAAAGAAGTAGGTAAGTTCCACTAGAAGCATGAGCACTGGGTTGTGGGATTGCATGGACAGATTCAAAAAAGTAGTTGCACTTGAGCTTGACCTTTAAATACGAGTAAGAGTTTTCCACGTGGAGAACGGAGAAAGGCATTGCAAGCAGAAGAAACAATAAATACAGTCCCCAAAGTGTGGCTATTAGGGAAGTATTCAGAAATATCCTTGCTTTGGGATTTGGGGCATCCACTTTTCACACACCTTGTGTTGCGGCCTCAAAGTAAAATAAGCATACCGGTTCAGCTCTGTCCCCCCTGGGACCTCTGCACTCTCCTTCATTCCAGCCTGCCTGCAGTTCATTTTACCCCTCACGGCTCAGCCACCATCCGGTGCTCCTGTGACAGCTCCCCAACTGTTGGAACCCTCATTGCTCTCCACTTTTCCCAATTTCTGTAAGCACTTAATTTCTTACCACACAATTTAGCAGTAATTATATGTTGTCCTGTTATTTAATTATCTCATTTGTGTAAGTCTAGTCTCTCCAGTTCTCTCCCTCAGGGCAGGGATGGCATTTTCCCACTTCCCGTCCCGCATTGGGCTTGACGTGAGCTGTCTGTCCACCGAAGATGTTCAGACAACGCCCGTTGACTTGACTGGACACCCTGCGCTGCTGTGATGACAGGCGTAGACCCCGGTCATGGGATTTATTGGTTTTAGCGGAAGCACATTCATTTCACCTACAACCATGGAGGGCCCCCCCCCAAGTCTGAAGCTAGTTGAAAAATTTTGAAGATAAGGTGCCTGTTCCCATATGTAAAATGTCCTGATGACATCCTTATCCCTAGAAGCCTGAGAACACTAACAAACCACAGGTGTCGGGGTAGACACAAGGGCAGCTGGAGTCCTCGGTGATACCCAGATCACCTATTGAGTGTGGCTTTTGCCTTTGTTTTTGTAGACATTCTTAATTTGCATTAATCCAACATCTAAGAGCTTATTTTGTGCTGGAGAATGTCCTGAGTACATAACAATTTTTAAAAATATTTTATTTACTTTTTTAGAGATGGGGGAAGAGGGAGATAAATGTAGACATCATTATGTGAGAGCTATATCAATCTGTTGCCTCTCGCACACCCCCAACCCGGGGACCCAGCCTGCAACCCAGGCGTGTGCCCCGACTGGGGATCAAGCCTGCAGCCTTTCTGTTTGCAGGCTGGTGCTCAATCCACTGAGCTACACCAGCCAAGGCCTAGGTATATAACAATTTTTTAAAAAATTAGTGTGGTCCCTGCCCTCAGAGAAAATAGCCTAGCAGGGCAAATTCAGTAGACAATTAAAATATGGAATGGTGTTTTTGTTACTTATTGTGGCAAAGCAAACTCTCCAAAATTTAGTAGATTTATGCAATCATTATCTCTCACAGTTCTGTGAATTGACGGGACTCAGCTGGGCAATTCTGCTGGTCTCACGTGGGGTCTCGTGAGATTGCTGTCAGATGGCAGCTGAGGCTGGAGTCACGTGAAAGCTCAGCTGGGACACTGGAAAGGCTGAGCCTCTTTGCCGTACTCCACGTGGCCTCTCCAGCTGGGTAGCTGAACTTCCTAAACAGTGGCTCAGAGCTTCTAAAACTACAAAAGGGGAAGTAGCAGGCTTCTTAAGACTTAGGCTTGGAACCCACATAGTTTCACTCCTGCACTCTGTGGGTTAAAGCATTTCACAGGATCAGCCCACAGTCAGTGTGGGCGGGGAAGACACAGGGGCTTGCATAGTGGTTAAGAGCTCTTGGAGACTAGCACATGCTTCAGTGGGAAGAGTACGGGATGCTGCGGAAACACCTAGGAGAGGCTCATAACCTAGAGGCGGAAGTCCTGGGAAGACTTCCTGAAGGCAGCAACATCTAAACTGATGAACCTAAGTGATGAGGACTGGGAACCAGCCAGATGAAGAAGAGGAAGGGAAAACACAATTCAGCCAGGGGAAACAGCTGTGCAAACTCACAGGGAGGTGAAGAGTAGAACTTAAGATCAGAGCGGCTGTCAAAGAGGTGGGAGTGGTGTAGGGTAGTGGTAGCCCCTTAGTCCGGAGAGGGAAATAGGGCCAGGTCATAATGCCTCATAAGCCCCCTAAGATGTCTGGCTTCTGTCCTAAGGGTATGGGACTTTGAGAAAGGAAGCAGGGGTATAATCAGGCTGCAGGGATCCTGAAGATTATTGGCTGCTGAGTGGGTGATGGATTGAAGGAATCAAGCCCTTATTTTCACCTAGTCCCTTTTAGCCGGTGACCTCACCTGCATTCCTGAGAAGGCTGAGTCATCAGCTCAGCACTGGTATCAGTTCTTTTTGCTTTTTATTAGTGGGACTTTTTATTGTAAAAACGGAAGCCCCTTTGTACAAATTTTTTGTTTTTTAATGTTAAAATGAACATATAGAAAGCCTGCTACCCTGTAGGATCTGGACGTATGGTTGGTCAGGTGGTCACACAATTTACACCTAAGTGTGATGGGAGTTAGGGACAGGAGGGGCATGCCGGGCTTGGGGATTTTACCCCTCAGTTAAGTAGTGGTTGGTTAAGAGAGCACCTACTCTAGAGAAAAATCAAACAGTACTACGAGACATAACAAAACACAGCAGACCTCTGCCGCATGCGGCTGCCTACTCTCTAAACTTGCTCCCTGGAGGCAACCATTTTCAACTCTGAAATTTCAGGTGCAGCACAGAGGAGCACAGGTTCTAGAATAGCACTGTCTGGCATCCAACGTAGTTCTTCCACTTAGCAGCTGGGTAAACCTAGTCAAGTGAATTGTACCTTTCACCTCAGTTTCCTCATCTGGAAGATGGGAATAAGAATTGTACCCTTCTCATGAGAAAACATAAATTGCTTGCCACATTGTCAGTAAGTGGTGATGATGAAGAGGGATCTAACTCGAGAGCAGCTGTGAGCACAGCTATGTAAATAAATGTTAGGCATGAATATAAGGTAGAGGAAATGACAAGAACAGACTCATGCTCAAAGGTCTGGCTTTTCCCTTTGTTCTAAGGCCAAACTCTGTTTTGCTCTCAGTCCCATTCTCTTCCTGTCTCTTCTAGAACCTTGTCTATTTATCTTGTCTAATTAACCTGACCTTCATGCCAAAGCATACATCTCTCTACTCGTTTTTTTTTTCCTTCCTATCTATGAAATATACACAGGCCTTTCCTTTCCTCGGCAGGGTGGGAAGGGGCAGCCTTCATTTGAACCTCCTGCCTTTTTCAGCTACAAACCTGTTTCATTCTTTCTATTGCACTTTTCTTAAGTAACACACATACTGCCTCCCATCCCTTCACTACTTGTCGCTTTCAGCTTAGTCTCTGTGCTTCCATCGCTGTTCTTCTGACATAGTTGTCACTAGGGTCATCCAGACCACCTCATTAACCACCAGTGGGCCTTTGCTCAGTCAGTCTGCAGAGCACTTGACTTAGCTGACCATTCACAGTCCTTAAATTTCACAGACAAACCGTCTCACCTTTGCGCTTCACTATTTCGGTCAATTGTGCTGTCTCCCCTAGCTATTCAAGAGAGAAACCTTGAACTCAGGGTTGGCTCAGCTCCCTTCTCTGCCTTCCCCCACATTAGTTTTGACTCTCATTGCAAAATATTAGTAACTCACTGGAGCTAGCTCTTTAGAAAAGTTTTATCAGGATACAGCGTGGAGGGACATCTAATGGACACCAAACGCAGGATGTGGCTGGAACCCAGGAAAGACCAAGACTGAAGACTCAGGAGCCAGTGAAGTGAGTCCTCTCTCCAGCTTTCTTTCTGGGTTTCCTGACATCTGCACAGACACCCCAAGGGTGTCAGACACTCCCACACTCAGTTAGTCACCAGGTCCTATAAAAATTGCCATCCTTTATTTTCAACAGGCCCTTAAATCTGTCCCCTGCTCCAGCTTCCTTTGTATGATGTCACCCATGCTTACTCCCTAACCGTTCTGTTTCTGTCATTGTGAAACCAAGGGTCCTTAGGACATTAATTAAATTTAGTTTTAAATCCTAGCTCTAGAAATCATCTCCCTCTCTCTCTTTCTCTCTCCACATATCTATATCTAATCTATATCTAATCTAATCTATCTCTATCTCTCAGAGATCCAGACCTTCCCCTGGAGAATCAGCAGCCCCCAAGGCAGCAGAAGACTGTGGTCTAAATAATGTTCGGGTAGGCGGGGACTCTGGCAGGCTAAAGATGACATCGTGATCTAAGTTATGTTTCAGTTCCTCATCCCTAGGGTGGAGTGACCCATGGCTACTTTCCCATGAAACTAGGACAAACCAGAACCTGTCCTCAAAACCTGAAGAAATGACTCATTACCCATACGGAGTGGAGGGACTCTGACCAGTCAGCTCCCGGCATGACACCGAATCCCTAACCCACAGTATCTTGTGATTTTGCCCTGTGCCATCTGTAATGTACATGCCACCAGGGAGTTCAGGCTTTTGAGCATTAGCTCCCCATTCTCCTGGATGGTGCCATTCATCAATAAAATAGCCAATCTTTCTGCACTGCAATTCCAGCGTGTAGTGTTCGGCTGTCTAGTGGTGGATGAACTCTGTCTGTTCTGTTACAATTGCTTCTTCCGCCTCCTGACCCTGAGTGTGAGTGTTGTCCACATTTCAGTTCTCTGAGCATTGCTCTGTTCTCAAACTACTGCCTTGCTATTGACCCCAAATGAGAGTACAGTGGTTAAGAGCTTGGACTTCGGAGTCCTGGGTTTGACTCTCCCACCAATTTCTAATTGTGTGAACCTGGGAAAGTTGAATTTTTTGAGCCTTGGTTCCTCATTCGTGAAATGGGGATAATACTGGTTCCTTCCTGACGGGGTTGATATGAGGATTCCCTGAGTAAACACATGTAAAGTGCTGAGTTAGCACAGTTCTTGGCACACAGAAAGGACTCGATAAATGGCAACAATTATTAGCCTTACCCTTGTTCTCTTTCCTGACTTCCAGTCTTAGATCGCCTGTCATACTTTTCTACTAGTTGTTCTGCTCTGACCTGAGACCCACCTGTCAGAATTCTCCAGGTGCTGCTGGTAGATGCAGCTTTCTGAGAGCTGGAGGGTGGGATGACCTGAAAAAGAATCCTTGAAGGAACCTTCCCTCCCCCCACCCCCCCAACCCCCATCCCCCCCACCCGACTTCAGCCAGGCCTCAGCGAAGACTCACTCACAAGAGCAGTTTCTCTGTAAGCCTCCAAACCCTCCGCTGGAATCCGGGAGAGCAGGTTGGGCTGCCATTTAGAGAACAAATGAAGGATGTGAATCCAACCTTTAAAAAAAAAAGCCCCGGGGGTGGTGAGAGGAGATGTAGCAGGATCAGTGGAGCTTTGAGGTGGGTGTAAAAAGTGAGAGCAGCACCCTCAGGGCGCTGAGCCGACTTAGGCTGGGGCCTCCCTCTCACCAGCGCTGGGGATCTGGCAGCACAGAAGCCAGAGGCGCTCCTGTTTTTAGCTGAGCTGTTGCAGGTCCCCTGTGCTGCCCTGTGAACATTCCTCATTAGGCCCAATGTGGGGAGCAGCTTTCACCTGCCCAGCAGCCCTGGCTGCCACCTCCCCCTCCACTTCTGGGTGGCAGTGTTCCTAATGTGGGGATGTGGGGTGGGGCAGTGCTCCCTCTCACCCAGTGCGGAATGGGGGTTGTGGGCAGGGAGGGTAACCTCACAGCTGTTTGCTAGTAGGCCGAGTGGCCAAGCAGTTAATAGGGGCCTATTCCGCTTCAGGCCCCTCTGGCTCTGAAGCAGAGTATGCCCCTGTTCGAATGTCACTTCTGCCATTACTGTCTTTATCTTTATAACCCTTCACAAGTTGCTTAACCTCTGTATGCCTCCTCTGTACGATAGACACGATAATAGGTCTATCTAATTGTGGTGAGTTTTAGTAGGACAATGCAGGTAAAGTATGAAGGAGAGCGCCAAGGCCCCTGTCCTTGCAGGAACAACCATCTCTACTCCCCCCACATGCCCCAACAGCATGCTGTGCACACCCCGTCTGGGTTTCCCTCTGTTCATGTGTCTGTCCCTGCCCTTGGACTATAAGCGCCATCAAGTCAGAGATAGAATTATATGGCTCTGCGTACTTGGAGCCCAACACAGGGCCTGGCACATAGATGAGCTTAATAAATACGTGTTTACCGTTGGAGGGAGCTCAGGAAACCATATTAAAGACTCAGGATTCCTTCTGGTCTCAGGGTACCACCATCCACTCTGGGTCATTCACCACAAATAGAGGGTCCAGGCCAGTCACTGTCCTGGGGCTTGGGGATACCACAGGGAGTGCAATCAGACGGGCTCCTGGCCTCATGGAGTAAACGGTCTAGGGGATGATGGACGTTGAACACAAAACAAAACTGGCGATACATTTCAACTAGGAGCATTGCTAGCCAGGAGAAGCCCAGGCTACCATGACAGCAGTTTTCAACTGGTGTGCGACAAGAATTTTTAAAACCTGCAACTTCCTTAGTCAGGGACACTGACCTCTTTTCCCGTAGATTGTCAAATGAAAAAATGAAAACAGCCAACACAACAGGATATGTCTGGTATGAATGAATCAACATTATACCAATTTTGTGTTTTAGTCGGATTGGGAAAAAGCATACTTTTGGGTGTGCCACAGAATTTTAGTAATTAGTTTATGCGTACCATGAAGTGAAAAAGGGTGAAAAGCTTTGTGCTGAGAGAACACACAGCAGAGACTGCACTCGGGGAAGGGAAGAACTGGAGCGTTTTCTACGTGATGTCACAAGTGAACTGAGGCCCGAAGAACGAGCAGGCTGCATTGAAGCAGAGCGTGGGAAAGAGCTTTCCAGGCAGAGAAAACCGCACATGCAAAGATCCTGAGCAGAAGGGGGAAAGGCTGCTGGGTGGGAGACAAGGTTAATGTCCCTGGAGCCCAGTGGAGGGGCGTGGCTTATGCAGAGGCTTGCAGGCCATGATGAGAATTTAAGTCTTCATCCTGATGAGGATAATGTTAAGCTAACATTTATTCAACTTTATGTGTGCACTGTGTTAAGTACTTTATGCGTGTTTTTTTAAAGATTTTATTTATTTATCTTTAGAGGGGAAGGGAAGGAGAGAGAGAGAAATATTAATGTACAGTTGCCTCTCGTGCATTCCCTGCTGGGAATTGGCCTGCAACCCAGGCATGTGCCCTGACTGGCAATCGAACTGTGATTCTTTGGTTCACAGGCCTGTGCTCAACCCACTGAGCTACACCAGCCAGGGCTATGAGTGTTTTATTATTTACTTTCCACAACTTCCCCAGGAGGCTGGTGCTATTCCCACTATACAAATAATGAAACCCTGGCCCAGGGAACTGAACTTGCTCAAGGTCAAACAGTTGGTGGAGGCAGAGCTGGTTTTGAACCCAAACATCAGCATCCAAAGCCTGCATCCTAACCTTTGTGTGGTCCAGCCTAAGAGCTAAGTGCTGTCTTTGATCTGAGCTGCAAGTTCCTCAAGGCCTAGGTTCCTCTTTCACCGATTGTCTCAGGCCCCCGGAACTGGGGGAACCCACGCAGAGGCTCCCTGTGGCCAGATGAGCTCCCGAGCGGCGGGCGGAACTGCAGGAGGTGCGGCCAAGGACGGACGTAATCACCCCTGGCCGGGCCTTCGTCCACGTGACGAGTCTGGGCATCTGCTCCACGGAGCAGGCGAGCGGCCGCAGTGCGGTGGGCGCTGGAGGATGCGCGCTGGAGCTGCGGCGACAGCTGTGAGATCCGGAGGTAAAGAGCCCCCAAGAGCCTCCGGGCGGAGAGGAAAAGCGCCCCTCGGCGTCCGGCAGGGGGCTCCCTCTCCCCGCTCTCCCCAGTCCAGGCCCCGCATCCCCGCCGCCTGGATCATGTTCCCTCCAGCCCTGAGGGGGAAAACTGCGTTCATTTCTGATTAAAAAATGACTATTTTTAAAAATGGGCTTTACTCTTTATTTCTTCCTGTCCTCTCCCAGGGCCAGAAAGAGACAGAAAGCGACACTGAGAATCCATTCCAAGCAAGCAGCCAAGAGGAGACGCGGCAGTTCCCAGATGTTGATGTTTTGTTTTTTGACATAAATCTTTGCCCTCATATGGGAGTTTTCATTGATTCATGTTCCCATCTGCTGAATTTCCTTTTATTTATTTAATATGGCTTTTTGGGGAAATCTTGCTCTGAAGCTCTGGAGGAGCATAAACTGCAACCGCTGCACACCCTCCACCCCCTCCCAACCCTGGCTGCTGGGAAAGGGAATCTGGCATCCTAGGGAGGAGGCGGCTGCCCATGTCCCCATCTAGGGGGGCAGGTGCCTAGGACCCCCTGCTTGGGGCCTACCAGAGGCTGTAAACCTGAGAAGGAAACAGCGTGAGTCTAGTCACATTGAGTCTCTGTTCCTTTTTCTTCCTGCCCACTCACACTCTGCATTCCCTGGATGCTAAAACACACTTACTCTCTGGGTTTAACAATTTGGAAACCAGGAAACATCTAACAGTGGACATCCGCCTCTGGACATGTTAGAGGCTCTCCTCTTCCCCAGCTCATCCCACATGTGCCCAACCCGCTGGTGAATCTTCCTTAGTACCTAAGTGCTTCAACTTCAGAGTCAGACAGCCTTTGTTTAAATCCTGCCTCTACTTTGTAGAGTGCTTTCTTGAGCAAGCTAAACTCTAGGATCCTCAGATTCCTCATCTGTAAAATGGGGATAATTACTATTTCTTTCCCAAATGCAGGTACATTTCACACATGAGGAAACTGAGACTGAGAGTAGTTAAGAGATCTGCTCAATTAAGATGGCGCCAGGGCACCCTCCTGGGTCTTTCTGATCCTCATCCTCATCTCACTGCTCACCCCCTTGCCCAGCTGCTTGTCCAGGTTTCCCAGGATCTCCTAGCAGAAAGGAGGTGCCTTCTTTTCCACGAGGCAGAAGAAAGGATTAGCCGTTAGTAGTTAAGAATGTGACCAGTACCCCTTTGGACCTTGGAACATGGACCCAGGCTTGGAAGGGACCTGAAGGTTGTCTTATTTGGTTTCCTACCTCCTCCTCACAGGCTTCCCTGACAGGTGCGGAGAAAGCAACATTTTACAAGGCAGCTCCTTCCATCTGGGGCTCCCTCTAGCTATTAACAGACCCAAAGACCACGGAATGGGACCATTTGAATGTGAGAAACCGTGATTTCCATAGGCAAAGCCCCTTAAGACCTAACACATTGCTAAGGCCCAAGGCGCTATGTCCAGTCCTGAGTAGAATTGGAGGGATTCCTCAAAGTGGCAAGTTAATTCCATCACACCCTCCTTTGTGAAGCATGTGTGGAATGCACATTCCTTCCCTGCTACATCTCATCCAGGCCAAGCTGAGCTGCTTAGGCCTCTCCTTGCAGGGCAGGGTAGGGCTGCATATCTAGGACTCTGATTTGGTTCTAAGCTTGCCCTGTAGGTGCACCTGCCCCTGACTCTCTACCCTTGGGCACTGTTTTCTGGAACTCCCGCTTACTGTGTGGTAAGCAGTATGGTGGCTCCAAAGTGCTCAGTGCCTTATAGGAAGTAAACCCTCAAAATTTTTATTGAAGAGAATCAGATGTTATGGAAGAGCACTTCACTTTGCCTGACAACCACCTAGAAAGAAAATATTACCTTTTTGAACTACAGCCTGTTCATCAGTCATATGATTCACCCTTGAGATTGCTGGACAATAGAAAAGAAGGGAGAAATTATAAGAAACAAACCCTGAGATAATAGAAAGGAGGAGGCCATACCCTGTAGTGAGATGGATAATTATCCACCAAAATTCATCCGCAGCTTCTTTTATGGGAGCAGAATTGAGCTTGGATGGCCAGGTGACTAAAGAAACAATGTGGACCACATTGAGGCCATATTCATAGATCCTTACACAAATGTAAACCCTCACATGTGCTCCTCCTTTTTCACTAGCTGGATCTCAAACATGACAGCAATCTGGCCTCAGCCATGCACTCCATGACAAGGCCCTAGAGTAACCTTGATTTCTTAATGACTCTGTGGAACAGAATGGCGTGCTGATCTGAAACACTCCCTTAAGACCATTCTATCAGAGAAATAAAAATTCACATTTTTAAGCTACTGAGTTATGACTGGCTTTCTAGTTATAGCAGTTGAGTATACTTAAATTAAAACAGAATGGAGGAAGGGTATCAAGACAAAAAAATGGCCCAAAGAAAGAACAGATCAAAGCTCCAGAAAAAATACAACTAAGCAACCAAGAGACAGCCAACCCATCAGATGCACAGTTCAAAGCACTGGTGATCAGGATGCTCACAGAACTGGTTGAATTTGGTCGCAAATTAGTTGAAAAAATGAAGGCTACACTAAGTGAAATAAAGGAAAATGTACAGGGAACCAAAAATAATGGGAAGGAAACTGGGACTCAAATCAATAGAGTGGATCAGAAGGAAGAAAGAAACAACCAAGTGGAAAAGAATGAAGAAACAAGAATTCAAAAAAAAATGAGAAGAGGCTTAGGAACCTCCAGGACATCTTTAAATGTTCCAACATCCGAATTATAGGGGTACTGGAGGGGGAAGAGGAAGAGCAACAAGTGAGAAACTTATTTGAACAAATAATAAAGGAGAACTTCCCCAATATGGCAAAGGAAATAGACTTCCAGGAAATCCAGGAAGCTCAGAGAGTCCCAAAGAACTTGGACCCAAGAAGGAACACACCAAGGCACATCAGAATTACATTAGCCAAGATTAAAATGAAGGAGAGAATCCTAGAAGCAGCAAGAAATAAGGGGACAGTCACCTACAAAGGAGTTCCCATCAGACTGTCAGCTGATTTCTCAAAAGAGACCTCACAGGCAAGAAGGGGCTGGAAAGAAGTATTCCAAGTTATGAAAGGCAAGGACCTACATCCAAGATTGATTGCTCTATCCAGTAAAGCTTTCATTTAGAATGGAAGGGCAGATAAAGCGCTTCTCAAATAAGGTCAAGTTCAAGGAGTTCATTATCACCAAGCCTTTATTATATGAAATGTTAAAGGGACTTATCTGGGAAAAAGAAGATTAAAAAACATGTACAGTAAAATGACAGCAAACTCACAATTATTAACAACCACACCTAAAACAAAAACAAAAATAAACTAAGCAAACAACTAGAACAGGAACAGAACCACAGAAATGGAGATCACATGGAGGGTTAGCAACAGGGGAGTGGGAGGAGGAGAGAGGGGGAAAAGGTACAGAGAATAAGCATAGACGTAGGTAGAAAATAGACAGGGTGCCCTGGCTGGTGTAGCTCAGTGGGTTGAGTGGGCCTGCAAACCAAACAATTCCCAGTCAGGGCACATGCCTGGGTTGCAGGCCAGTTCCCAGCAGGGGATGTATGAGAGGCAACCATACATTGATATTTCTCTCCCTCTCTCCTTCCCTTCCCCTCTAAAGATAAATAAATTAAATTAAAAAAAAAATAGACAGGGGGACGGTAAGTATAGTATGGGAAATATAGAAGCCAAAGAATAAATACTTACATGTATGACCCATGGACAAAAGCAGGGAAATGTGGGTGGGAGGGGGCGTGCAGGACAGAGGGGAGTGAAGGGAGGAAAATGGGACACCTGTAATAGCATAATCAATAAACTATCTTTTAAAAAATAAAGTAAAGCAGAGTGGGGGTAGTGAGCTGGTCGAGAGCCTGGGCTTCAAAGTCAGGCTGACTTGGTGCACACCCTCGCTCTGCCCTTACAGCTGTTGACCCTGGGCTACTGGTGAACGTTCCTGAGCCTCCGTTTTCTTTTCAGTAAAATGAGGGGGATAAATTCAACACTATCAGGACCACTTTGAGAAGCAATCTTTGGGCTTGTTCATTAAAGCTGAAGATGCTCATAGCCTATAATGCAGCAATTCCATTACAAATTATATACCCTAGAGAATCGTGGGCATGTACACCAGATCGCATGTACAAGAATGTTTGTCCCAAAAAGGCAGATAACCTCAATACCCATCTGTAATGAGTGGAAATACCATATTTTTGTGTATAATGTGCATTTTTTGCCCAAATTTTTAGGGAAAATAAGGATGTACATTATAAATGGGTATAATGATTACATGCTATAGGTATAAAATGAGTATGATAATCCCTTGTATAATTCACACAAAAAACGTGGGTGTGCATCACACACTGGAGCACATTATGCACAGCAATATATGGGTGTGTGGAAATTGTGGCATTTCAGCCAATGGAATGTCCATCAACTAACTTCAGCTATATGGAACAACGTAAATTAATTCCATAAGGATTTATGCTAAAAAAAATACCTCAAAAGAATATATATTGTATTATCCCATTCATATATAGTTAAAAGTTGACAACCTAAACTATATAATTTAGAAATGCGTACATAGACAATATAACTATAAGCACAGATATGTGTAATATTATCTGTAATATATTAATGTTATAGAGACAATATATGTTTTTGACATCCTCTGCATATGTCGCATTTCAGGACTAAGTTTATAAAACATCATCTAGTAGCGTTGTTTGAGGAATGAATGGGGTAATGCATGTAACGCACTAAGCTCCATTGCCTGGTGTATAGAATGTGCTTGATGAAAGTGGCTGGTTTTGTTTTGTTTTGTTTTGTTTTGTTTTGTTTTGTTTTGTTTTGTTTTTTAAGAGAGAGGGGAAGGGAGGGAGAAAGAGAGGGAGAGGAACATTAATGTGAGAGAGAAACATTGAGTGGTTGCCTTTCACCATGACCAGGGACTGAACCTGCAACCCAGGCATGTGCCCTGACTGGGACTCCAACCGGCGACCCTTCACTTTGTGGGATGACGCCCAACCAGCTGAGCCACACCAACCAGGGCACAAGTGACTCTTTTCATGTTGAGGGAAAGATTTGGAGCCTTGAAGAAAGTCACATGCCACATGATCAAATTAAGAAAATGACAAAATTAAGAAAAGGCCCTATTTTCTTCCTTCAAAGCACATTGGCTTCCTACTTTTGTAGCATCCTGTGTGTAAGCGTAAATGTGTGTGTTGGTGGAGAGGACTGATTTAGGATGAATTGACCATCATAAGATTCGTGCAGAATTGGAAAGCTTCACTCTCCTGCTCCGAGAAGACACGAGGGGGAGG